GCTGGCTCAATCCGTGCTCAGAATAGCCCCCCCCTCCTCCCCAAAATAACGCACAGCTGTGGCCTGGCCCCCGCGGGGTTAATACTGGCTCTCTCCTTTCCTGGTGGCTGCTCAGCCACCAGCCCTCCTCCTTTGCTTCTCAGACCCTGGCTTCTGCATTTTGGGGTCCAAGGTCCTTGGTCACTGTGAGGCCTAGGAGGGCAGCTTCCGCCCCACCCCATCAAGAGGCACCACCTTCCCATAAAAGGCTCCTGAGGGCAACCTTTCTACCCAGCCCTTTACCCAGCCCCATATCAGTCCTCTGAAGGCAAAGTCCCCAGAGCTCACAACACATCGGGGCTGGCAAAGTCCATGGCGACCTCCACCTCATGAATGTAGCCGGCTACTTCCATCCCCATAGGGGCCTAAGAAGCAATCCCCCAGCCTACTCCATCAGGAGTTCTTTCTCTCATAGACGCCCCCTAAATTCCTGACTGAAGAACTGGCCTGGCAGGTACCCGCCTCACCCAGCACTGTGGTCCACTCATTCTCAGGACCCGGGTATCCCAGCCTCCTCCGGCCCCAACAGCTGGGAATCTTGGTTCCTGTCTTGTTCTCCTTTAAGGAGCCCCCCCTTTGCCTCAGACCCCATCAGTCCCAACACCCTTGCTGCCCACTAGCCCTGGCATTCCCAGTTGCTCCTCTCATATCTTGCCCAGAGCATAAGCTCTGTCTCCACTGCCCCCCATCCATCATTGGAATGGGGAGAGGCTCCGATCAACAGCCCCCCCCGTTCTGCAGAAAGCTGCCAGCCCCCACTGCACACACAGGCACCACTGTCCTCTTATCCGAGTCCTGGAAGGGCATTCCAAAACCCCGAGGAAGGGGTGACTGCTTGGGGCTGGGTGCCGGTCACTGGACGCCCTCAAGGTCCTTGGCAGGGGTATTAATAGCAGACTCATAGCTCTGAGGAGGGAGGGGAAAGCAGAGGAGAGAGGGACAGCCAGTCGTGGGGGAGATTGATGCAGGGAGGGGTTGTAGAGACGGTGAGGTAGAGAGATTGGCAGAGGTGGGATTCAGTGAGGCACAGCTGGGGACAGGGTAAAGTATGGGGACAGAGGCCTGGGGTGGTTTTGAGCTGTAGAACCCTGGGGAAAGGGCAGAGACAGCGCACGCAGGGCAGATGGGAGACAGTCCCTGAGGGACGAGGGGCTGGCTTGCTTGCATTCAAACCCCTTCCCTCCTTGAGGTCCCCGGCCAACTTTCCCTGCCCTAGATCGGAGAGGGTCATACCCCACCCCCACCCCGTGCATCCCTTGCCTTACCTTCTCATGACCCTGTCCTGTGGGGGGAATTGCTGGGGGCCAGGACCGGAACCAGTGTGCAGAGACCCAAAGATTCCGCGCAGTGTTGGGGAGCTGGTCGGGGGCCAGGCCCAGGGCGGCGGCAGCAGCAGCGCAGGCGGCAGTGGTGGGGACCTTTTGCCTGTCCCGGCTCCGTCCCTCCTCTTCTCGATCCTGCCCTGCTCTGTCCCCCAAGGTTGCGGCCACCAGACTAGGCGAGGATGAGGCTACACATGTTGCGCTGGAAGTTGGGCCGTGGACATTGCGGAGGCTGTCGGGGTGTCCTCTTGCGGCCTGACCCCATGGGGATCCCCCTCCACCCACCTGGGGCGCCCCCCTCTGCCGGTTTCAGTTCGGGCTCCTCCCCTGGCTGGCATGCCCCATCACCTCCCCCTAGCTTATTGACACCCCCTTTGTGCTCCCAGCCCCCTCCCTTGTCTCTGTCTGTCTGTCTGGGTCACCTCTGAAGCCAGAGGCTCCTGTATGTTTGTGTAAGGAGCGTGAAGCTGCCTATCGGGGAGCTGATGCCCATTCCTTGCTTGGCCACCTCTGGACCCCCCCCCCCCCGCATGCCCCCACGTACAAGCACAGGCAGAAACACACATGCACACGCTCACACACACACACAATTTCACTTCCCTGGGATTTCCCCTCAACACCCCCGGAGCTTGAAGAGGGAGACACACACACACACACATACACACACACACACACACACACACACACACACACACACGCTTGCGCAGGGCCCCAACAGGGGCGCGTTGTGACTGCTCAGTAGCTGTTTGGACAGACAGGAGGACACAGGCATCCGGGGACACACAGACACTCGGCTGGATGCAGGCTGGATGCAGGCAGGAGGCACAGAACCCAGGTGCACACCATCCATCCAGGTTTGGGGGCTCAGGGAACCGAATGGGGGGTCGGTGAGGTGCAGGCTGGGGGCTCAGGGTCGGTCCAGACAGACAGACCCCTCCTCCCTCCGCTACCGCCGCAGCAGCCCTTACAGACACACCCCCCCCACCAGCCAGCCTGACACCAAGACACACATCCTCACCTAGCAGATGGCTGTAGCACGAGAGACCCCTGGGGGCCAGGCGGACCCACCCAGGCTGACACCCCTCAACAGGGCGCTGGTGGCCAAGGAGGCTGCGGGCGCGGGCGGAGGGTGGCGGCGGCGGCAGCGGAGCGGCTTGCAGGAGCCAGAGCGTGAGGGACTCACACACTGGCTGTGTTCCTGCACACTCACTCAGGATGCGATTAACATTCAGTCCCCGTCTCTCCCCGCCAGGAGACCCACAGCCCCCCTCCCCGGCTTCCCTAGGGACCCCTCCTCCTGTCAGGGCTGAGCGAGGGGGCCACTCTTTACCCCATTTGGAAGCGTCTGTTTTCCTCATGGGACATGGGACTGAGGGGCTGCGATGAAATGGGAGGGCACAAAGGTGGGTGGACAAGGACACTGCCTGGTACAGACAGTTTGGGACCTAGATAGAGCGTCGGGGGGGGGGTCCTGAAATTGCCCCTTCCCTCTTGTGGACTTAAACATCCGCCATGCTAAGACTCATCCTCTGAGTTCTATGGCCCCACAGCAAGATGCAAGCTGGATGTCTATGGTGGGACCAGGAGTCTAGACTCCCAAGGCCCTTGTCCATTGGAGACAGATGTCCAAATGCTGGACCACCTTCCTCAGACCTGTCAGGCTAGACCCTAACCTTGGCCCCGAGACTGATGGCTCAAATCCCAATCCTCCCTCTTCAGACTGCAGCCCTCTTCCCTTAAACTTACGGGGCTAGGCTCCCAATTCCCTTCTCCCTCGGTCCCAGGTGTCCAGACCCTCTCAGGGATCCACCGCTCCAGGCCTTAGCCCTGCTCCAGATTCTGAGCAAGTCCTAATGGAAGTCCATCAGTGAGGGACTGGTCCATCACAGCCATGGCTGCTCAGTCCCCTGGGGGGAAACTGCCCGCTTTGTCACAGACACAGCAATCCTCACTACAACCCTACCTTTTGAGGGTCCACACAATCACCTCTTGCCTCTGGTAAGGCAGCCCTTAGCATCTGCTTCAGGACTGGGGCTGGAGGAAGAGAGATGGGGTGGAGGAGGGGAGAGAGGGAGAAGGGGGAGAAAATGTGTGTGTGTGTGTGTGTGTGTGTGTGTGTGTGTGTGTGTGTGAATTATGGAGCATGGGCTGGGACCTAGACCTATGGGAATCTTATTAAACTTGTGCCCTTATGCCCACTATTGGAGTCCTGTTTCCTGTATTAGGATCTGGGAGGACATGGCTGATGCTGTTTCTGAGTCAGGACCTGAAATTTTGGGCCTTAGAAGACAATGGGATTGTGGATGTAAGTTAGAGTGTTGAGTAGTAAAGAGATTGCCAAGGAAAGGTTTGTAGAGAGGGCCTGGGTCCCTGGGTGTGTGGCAGGATTGTAGAGAGGACCTGGGTCCCTGGGTGTGTGGGAAGGATTGTAGAGAGGGTCTGGGTCCCTGGGTGTGTGGAAAGGATTGTAGAGAGGACCTGGATCCCTGGGTGTGTGGGAAGGATTGTAGAGTGGACCTGGATCCCTGGGTGTGTGGGAAGGATTGTAGAGTGGACCTGGATCCCTGGGTGTGTGGGAAGGATTGTAGAGTGGACCTGGATCCCTGGGTGTGTGGGAAGGATTGTAGAGAGGACCTGGATCCCTGGGTGTGTGGGAAGGATTGTAGAGTGGGTCTGGATCCCTGGGTGTGTGGGAAGGATTGTAGAGTGGACCTGGATCCCTGGGTGTGTGGGAAGGATTGTAGAGAGGGTCTGGGTCCCTGGGTGTGTGGGAAGGATTGTAGAGTGGACCTGGGTCCTTGGGTGTGTGGGAAGGATTGTAGAGAGGACCTGGGTCCCTGGGTGTGTGGGAAGGATTGTAGAGTGGACCTGGATCCCTGGGTGTGTGGGAAGGATTGTAGAGTGGGTCTGGGTCCCTGGGTGTGTGGAAAGGATTGTAGAGTGGACCTGGGTCCCTGGGTGTGTGGGAAGGATTGTAGAGTGGGTCTGGGTCCCTGGGTGTGTGGAAAGGATTGTAGAGTGGGCCCGGGTCTTCCCAGGGAATTAGAACTAGAGGAAGAAGCCAGGAGCCTACCCTCTTAATCTCAGGATTATTGTCGTTGTTGTTACTATTAAAGTATTAGTATTAATTATTTGTGGGGGAGTAGATTGTCATTTTGGAGGCCCCGGGGCTGGGGTTCCCTCTACTTCATCCTCCTAGTGGTAAGATTTCAGGCTGCACCATCACCCTAGGCCACTCCAGGATCTTTAAAGCTCAGAAGTCAGGCTCCCTCTGGATTCCTGCTAAGGGCGAACTCTCTCGAGTCCTTTCCTAGAGAGACGTCTGTGGGTGTGGGATCCTAAAGACCCTTCCGATTGATTAGGGGAAGGCAGAGGACAGCTGGCTTATTCGGTACTACTCTGCGAGGCAGGTGGCGGGCGCCAGGGGGCGCCGGAGAGCCGAGCGAGCGGCCCTGGGGCGGAGCTCCGGTCCGGACTCCTCCCTGCCCGCGCTCGGCCCTCCTCCCTTCCCTCCCTGCCAGCGCGGCCGCCGCTCCGGCCTCGGCTCACCTCCCAGAGCCCCCTCCCCGGAGCTGAGCCAGCCGAGGGCTCCTCTCCCGCCCTCACCCCAGCGGCCCCGCAGCCCCGGGGCAGCCCGGCCGGCCAGCCTCCCCAGCTCAGCCCTGCCCGAGCCCCTAGCCATGAACCTCTTCCGATTCCTGGGAGACCTCTCCCACCTCCTGGCCATCATCTTGCTACTGCTCAAAATCTGGAAGTCCCGATCGTGTGCGGGTGAGAGCCCCTGGCGCGGGAGGAGCGGGAGGAGCGGGAGGAGCGGGCGGGCGGGCGCCCTGGGGACCGCGAGGCTGGAGCCCGGCAGGGAGGCTGAGTGCTCCCGGGCTCCCGTGTAGCCCTGGGGTCGCGGGGCCCGGCTGCTGCCCCCAGACTAAGGGCCGCACAGCCGGACCTTGTGCAGCACCCTTTGGGACAGTGTGGGTGTCCCGGAGCTGCGAACCAGGAACCATGGCAGGCGGGGAGGCGGCTGGGAGTTGGTGACGTGGACTGTAAAGGCCGGGAAGGGAGCGGGAGGGAAGGGACTGGCTGACAGGCTCAGGGCAGGCAGGGCGTTCCTTGGGTCCCAGCGTCGGTCCAGGCTGTCAGGGGACCCGGAGGACACCGGGGTACCAGCGAGGCCTAGCCCGGGACGGAGCCGCGGTCTGTAGTGTCTGTGAGGCCCGCTGCCCCCTGGCTGTGGATGGTGGGAAAGGGCCGGTGCTCAGTCGAGGCCTTCGGGGACCGCTGTGTTGTAGAGCTTCAGGCAGCCTGGCCCAGGCGCTGCACTTGGTTGCCCAAGTAGCCCACCTCAGCTCCCCCTACCCTGCCTCTTGTTCTCCGTCTCGACCAGGCATTTCGGGGAAGAGCCAGGTCCTGTTTGCTGTGGTGTTTACTGCCCGCTACCTGGACCTGTTCACCAACTACATCTCTCTCTACAACACCTGCATGAAGGTAGAGCTGCAGTCAGGTCCCGGGGCAGCATCAGGGCAGGGGGCAGAGAGGAATCGGCAGAGCCTTGGGCCTGGAGTTGTGGTCTGAGGGAGGAGGGCTGGGGCCTGGACGCCTGGGTCTGAAGGAGAAGAGACTCATCTAGACGCTTCCGTCCAAGTATGGAAGACTAATGTCTAGACAGGCGTGAAGGAAGAGCTGGGGTCTGGACATCCCGTTTGAGGGGTGGGCTGGGAACTTGACCGCCCATGCCTGTGCCTACTGGATGGAGGTGCCACCTGCCAGCTGAGCCACCTGTCACCCTCCCATCAGGTGGTCTACATAGCTTGTTCCTTTACCACGGTGTGGATGATCTACAGCAAGTTCAAAGCGACTTACGATGGGAACCACGACACCTTCCGGGTGGAGTTCCTCGTCGTTCCCACGGCTGTTCTGGCGTTCCTGGTCAACCATGACTTCACCCCTCTGGAGGTAGGTTTCTGTGGGGACTGAAGTGGATGGATGGCAGTGTCGGCTGAGAGCAGGCCCGCTCAGCGGTTGCCTCCGCAGGATTTGCTGAGATGCCCCATACAGGAGCACCATGGAGTCAGACGATACCGTGTGCCGCTAAGTTCATGTAGAGCGGAACCCCGTTTTCAGATGAGGACACTGACCCTTAAGACGTCCGCATGTCCAAGGGTACCCAGTTTGGTGAGGACCAGACGGACCAGGGGTTAGGAATGGGAAGCAGGACGTTAGGGCCTAAGGAGCCTTGGAGATAGAGTCTGCATGCTAGGCCAGCGCATGGCCCTTGACCCACGGGGTCAGTCGTTGGTCTTACATAGGGGTCTAACTATGGTTCAAGGGCTGGCCTGGAACACTCCTTGATTCAGTGCCTGGATTTTAGAAGTATGTCACATCTGTTTCGGATCAGCACAGGAGTTTTAACCTGCTCTGTTTCCGACCTGGGCCGGTTCACCCCTCCTTAGGCAACCTGGTGGTCCCCTGCTCCCAGGAGATCACCATATTGATGCCAAACTTAATGCGGAACCCAATGGGCATAGTGCACTACAGCCCAGGACTCCTGGACTCAAGCCATCCTCCTGTCTCAGCCTCTCGAGTAGCTGGGATGACAGGTGTGCATCACTGTGCCTGGCGGGAGCTCCTGTTTCTACTACGGTGAATTCAACCTGTGACTTGTCCTTCTTTGCCTCAGTTTCCCCATTGTGAAATGGGTCACATGAGAGTTACTGAGGTTAGGGTTGTCTGTGGGTTACATGAAGAGGCTCTGGAGTTGAGGTGTAGGGATTGGAAGCTTGCTTCTTCAACTGGACAGCGGTGGGACTATGGGCAAGTATACGCCTGCCTTTTTTGGAGAGAAGGACAAAGTGAAGAAGTCAGTTCCTGCTTCTTAGCATCCTTTTATACGGTGCGGGATAGAACCTGGTCCTGTGCACTCAGAGCTCCATCCCTCTTAGCTACCGGGACCCAATGTTTATAGAGCGATGTCTGCATGAGATGGGGAGGGCTGGTTATTGCCATGTGTGCTATTTCCACCTCCAGGGTTGGCTGTTTTGCCTTTTGCCCTTTGGTGTTTTGGTTGGGTCTGTATGTGCTCCTGGAAGGAATTTTAGGAGGGCCTGTACCGTCTGCCAATTCATGCCTCGTGGGCTGGAGGGAACCATCAGTGGAGTACTCTCCCTCTGCAGCCCACTCGTGTCTTACGGGGAGCCCACCCTGGGTGGTCAGTTATGCTGAGGTTTTCAATAGAAGCTGTAATTTAAGAGTTCCTCAGATAAGATCTACTAGCTTCAAAGTTTTAGCCACTTATTCAAAATGTATTTCTTTTTTCTTTTTTAAAATTACCAATGCCAACTATACTTCAACTGTCAGGACATAATATTGGAAAAAGTCTTATTTTTTTTCCTTTTGGTTTTTTAACACAGGGTTTCTCTGTGTGGCCCTGGCTGTCCTGGAACTTTCTCTGTAGACCAGGCCGCCTCGACATTAGAGACCCGCTTGCCTCTGCCTCCCAAGTTTGAGTGCTGGGATTAAAGGTGTGCACCCAGTTAGCAGAGCTTTCAGTTAGCAATAATTGCACTTTGGCTGTAATATTGCTTTGCAAAGCCCAAAATGTATTTCTAAAAGCACTGTGTAGACTGAAGTCAACATTGGCCCGTGGGCTCCCAGAAGTTGCAGAGGGAGTGTGACAGTTGTGGAGGCACCCAGGACTGGGTTCTAGACTCTGGCTATGCAGATGTGCCACTATCACTGTGTCACACCGGAGATTACCTAAACTGTTGGTTTATTCTCTACCACGGCTGAGTTGGGGTCACTGGGCTTATTTTGCGGGTGGAGAACTTACTGAGGTGGGGTAGGCATGGGGGGGGACTGTTTTCAAGATTCTGTGCTCCAAAAGTTCTGTTTTAACCAGAGAAGGGAAAATAACTTTCTTCCCTTTGGTTTTTAGAGACAGGGCTTCCCTGTGCAGTCCTGGCTGTCCTGGAACTCACTCTGTAGACCAGGTGCCTGTAGACCAGGCCTCAAAGGTGTGTGCCACCACTGCCTGGTGGAAAAATAACTTTTTGAGACAAGATTTTGCTGTGTAGGCCAGAATGACCATAAATCTAAGATAATACTCTTGCCTCAGCCTCCCAAGTGCTGGGGTTACAAGCCTGTACTGCCACAACTAGCCTGAAAATACTCTTTAAAAAAATTGCAGCTCAGCTGGGTGTTGATGGCACATGCCTTTGATCCCAGCACTCGGGAGGCAGAGGCAGGTGGATCTCTGTGAGTTCGAGACCAGCCAGGTCTACAGAGTTAGTTCCAGGACAGGCTCCAAAGTCACAGAGAAACCCTGTCTTGAAAACACACACACACACACACACACACACACACACACACAGAGCAATAATTCCAGCTCTCTTACTGGGCTGTGTTGCATGTCTTTAATCCCAGCACTAGGGAGGCAGAGGCAGGCAGATCTCAGTGAGTTTGAGGCCAGCCTGATCTACATACTGAGTTCCAGACCAGCCCCCCAAAAAACATATGAATGAATGAGCTCATCAGTTAAAAGCACTGCCTGTTTGTGCAGAATTTTGCTCCTAGGACCTGACCCATGTCAGGTAGCTTATAGCTGCATATAACATTAGATTCAGGGTCCTGTGATTTTTTTTTTTTCCCTCTGGCTTTCACAGGCACCAGTGTATATGTGGCATTCAATCATATAGACATACACACAAATAAAATAAAAACAAACCTTAAAAACAATTCAGGGGGCTGGAGAGAGATGGCTAGCAATTAAGAGCATTTTCAGAAGAATGTAGTTTAGTGTCCAACATACATATACATGTTCAATCCTAATCATTTAACTCAAGTTCCAGGGGGCCCAACCCCCTTTTCTAACCTCTGTGGGAACCAGGTATGGACACAGTGCACAGATTTAACCTGCAGGCAAAACACTCATACATATACATTTTTAAGATTTTATGTGGTTCATGCCTTTAATCCCAGCACTCAGGAAGCTGAGGCAGGTGGATCTCTGTTCAAGGACAGCTGGCCTTACCTCCATGAGTCAGTCTCTCTTACACACACACACACACACACACACACACACACACACACACACACCTCATCACACACAATAACAAAAAACACTAATACACATAAAACTAAAAAAATTTAAAAAGAATCCAGATGTCACACAACAAACAGATAAACTGCAACAGGCCTGTTTTTTGTACTGTGTTTCCATTCCCCTAGGGCCACCCCAGGAATGTGAGCTGAGCAGATGGGTATCTTTCTCAGTGGCCTTCTGGAGGATTCTGGATAGTCAAGGGAATAGGCCTGGGGCCCACCTGCTGGGAGTGGGTCCTTAGTCTTTGGGCCCTCAGTTTGCTCATATGTGTGATGAGGATAATAGCGGGACACTGGGAATATTAAGGCTGAAGCCAGTCAGTGCCCCACGGTGTCAGGGAGGTCCCCGGTTGTCACCTGCGTGCCCTGCTGTTTCTCGCTTCCTTCTCGAAAACCAAAACAACCGTAGAGAAAGCCACAGCTGGCACCTGGCTTTGTCCTCTGAGTGGTTTCGGGCACGTAGCTGGTGGTGGTGTCCCCCAGGTGGGACTTTCAGGGGCTGTGATGACCTGAGCATCGCAGTGGCTGTCCATGCTCTCTTAAGGGGGGCTTGTTCTGCACACATGGGCCACCCTTAGTAGCTGCTCACTCTTGGTCTCCCTCCTTCAGGGGCTGTGCTGGTGCCGGGGACCCTGGGGGATCAAGACACAGGGTTCCAGGCCTCACAGAATTCGCAGAGGAGCTATGACAGGGTGATGTGCCACATGCAGTGGCAGTAGCCGCCATGTAGTCCCAAGAGCAGGTTCATGAGTACAATGACAGCCTCAGCTGTGTAGCGGGTTCCAGGCCAACCTCGGCCTTATAACAAGATTGCCTCAAAAAATGAACAGAGAGGCCAAGTTCGATAGTGCATTCCTTTAATCCCAGCACTTGAGAAGTTGGAGGCGCTGAGTCCAGGCCATCCAGGGCTATGTAGTAATACCCTATCTCAAACAGCACAGAACCAGGGCAGGGGACAGGAGAGATGATCCAGTGGTCTGTCACTCCTGATTTTTGCACAAGACTTGGCTTCAGCTCCCAGCACCCACATAGTGGCTCACAACTGCCTGAACATCCAGTTCCAGTGAGTCTGATGCTCTTTTCTGATCTTCAAGGGCTCCTGAACACATATTGTGTGCATACATGTACTCCGGTGCGCGCGCGCACACACACACACACACACACACACACACACACACACACACACACACATTGTATAGGGCTCAGCTGTTTTAGCATTGCTGATTTTCCAGCGCAGGAGGATTTGATTCCCAGCACCCACATCATGGCTTGTAGTCCCCTGCTATCTCCAGTTCTAGACATTTTGATGCTTTCTTCTGGTTCTTGTGGGTACCATGAGGTGCACACAGATATGTTTGTATGTGTGTATATACATATACATACATACATACATACATACATATATAATTTATGTGAATATTTTGCCTGCATGTATGTCTGTGCGCCAAATGTGTGCCTGGTGCCGAGAGACAAGAAGGAGGTGTCAGATCTCCTGAGACAGCAGTTATGGTTGTGACCTGCCATGTGGGTGCTGGCAATCAAAGCCAAGTCCTCTAGATATGCAGCCAGTACTCTTAACTGTTGAGCCATTGTTCCAGCCCCATAATTTTTTTTAACTTTACATAAAACAAATAAAAATAATAAACAATCCCAAAGGGCAAATTGCTGTGAGTCTTGGAGGATGAGTGGCCAAAGTAGACCTTTTTCCAGGAAGTGACTGGCTGCTGAGGGTTAGGGCCACAGCAGGCAATTATGCTGGATAAAAGCAAGTACAAAGGCCCCTGAGGGGGCTGGAGAGATGGCTCAGAGGTTAAGCACTTTGACTGTTCTTCCAGAGGTCCTGAGTTCAATCCCAGCAACCGCATCACCGCTCACAACCATCTGTAATGAGTTCTGGTTCCCTCTTCAGGCCTGCAGACAGAACACTGTATATATAACAATAAATAAATCTTAAAAAAAAAAAAAAAAAAAAAAAAAAAAAAAGAGGCCCTGAAGCAGGAGAAAGCTTGGTCTGTGCTGTCCAGGGAGGACCTTGAGGGACAAGGTCAGGAGTCTAATTTTATTCTGACCAGTAACACGCTAGAGAGTAATGTAGTCCGACTTAGGTCTTTGAAGGTCACATTTAATGGTATCCCATTGTAGAGACGGGGCGGGGTAGGTTTGGAGTCGGGTGCCTTTTGCTCTCGGGAGATGTAGATGAGAGGTGTTCATGAGCTGGAGTTCCAGGCAGGCCTGCTGTTCTGTGGTCTGGGGCAGGGGTCTTATCTTCCCTGTATAGGGGGTGTTAGGAGGCTGTGATGGGCTGGTGATGAGGGCTCAGCACAGTGGGTCTGCCTTGAGTGCAGGGTGGTCGTTCGTCCACGTGCTCCTCGCGTGCTGGTGCTGCCCCAGCTGCCTCGCCCTGTCCCTACCCTGGCCTGTCCTCCTCTCCAGATCCTCTGGACTTTCTCCATCTACCTGGAGTCGGTGGCCATCCTGCCGCAGCTGTTCATGGTGAGCAAGACAGGCGAGGCAGAGACCATCACCAGCCACTACCTGTTTGCACTGGGCGTGTACCGCACACTCTATGTCTTCAACTGGATCTGGCGCTACCACTTTGAGGGCTTCTTCGACCTCATCGCCATCGTTGCTGGCCTGGTCCAGACAGTCCTCTACTGCGATTTCTTCTACCTCTACATCACCAAAGGTAAGCAGAATGCGGGGCTGGTTGAAAGGCCTGCTCTCTGTAGTCCTCTATTCCTTGGGCCCATGGTATCTTCAGCCATATGAGGGTTGGGGCTTCCTTTCCTAGCTTCTGGGGTTCCAGGCCTATCATCCCCTATTTAGATTCCAGACCTTGCCTCCCCAGGGCTCAAGTTTTGACTTTGACTCTCAGGCCATATTTTTACAAGTGGAGATCAGGCAAAGCTGGGACTCTTGATGGTGAAATTCGTGAACTGTCACTGTACAAACTTCCTGAGTGCCTTCTATGTCCAGGGCTCAGCCATAGAGGAAAAGGTAGTCGAGGCCCTCTCCCCCTTAGATCCTGCTAAGGAAGATGGCCCATAAAGAAGTGTCTAGTGATGAGAGGAACCCTGAATGGATGGAGACAGGGATGTGACCTTGGTGTGATGACTTAGAAGGGTGGACCTGACTTCCTAGGGTCCATGGCATCTTGAGGTGATGTTTAAGCAGAGGCCTGAAGACCAGGGATCAGTATGTGAAGGAAAGAGGCGATAAGACCAGGCCTGTAACCCCAGCCCTGGAGGCTGAGGCAGGATTGTGTCGAGTGTGAGGCTAGCCGAGGCATCACAAAAACACAAAGTCTGGGCAATCAAGGCCAGGAAAGTAGTCAGCACTTCTGGAACAAAGCGTGCTCTTGGCCTCTGCTCAGCCCTGTGAGAGTTCCTGTTCTATCCCCTGGTCCATCTACACTCCATCTAGTAGTTTGGGGTGGGTTCCCTCCCCTTGCACAGCTCATCTGCATACCTTGCTCAGGGTGAGAGGTAAGGCCCATTTGTCTCTTTCTCCACAGTCCTGAAGGGGAAGAAGCTGAGCTTACCGGCATAGCCCTGGCCTCCCCAGCCTTCGCCGAGGCAGGTCAGGAGGAAGAGGAAAGCTGCAGAAGACCAAGCGCCTTCCCACCCAGAGCTGACTTTTTTAAAGAGCTCGCCTCGCCCAGCTCCCCACCCCTGCAGCTGGGTTTGGGGGTCAGTGGAAGATCCCTACCCTGGGCAGCTCAGGACCTGAGCTGTGTGTAGCCTTTTGCCTTTTAGAGAAGAAAAACAAAAAACAAATCTTTCCACTATTTAGTTTTTGATTCTGACAACCTTTTTCTCTTCCACCCTGGCCCTGATTTTTTATAAACTGTGTTTTGAGTGTTCTCTGGACCAGGGCCAGCGGAGGTCTACTCCCTTCTCTGAGCCACTTGTCTCCCTCCAAGATCTCACCCCAGCCCCATGGTTGCCAAACACTACACCTGCCAATGCCTGCCTGCCCACTGTGGCTGTGACCACAAGTTCCTGGATTGGTGGTAAGGAAGAAAGTTAAGGAGCACCCCCCTAAGTTTTCATATTCCTTTTCCAGAATTTGTTAGCTTTTTGTGTGTGGGGGGGTTGTCCTGTTTTGTTTTGTTTTCTTTTTTTTTTTTTTTTGGTCAGATTAGGGGGAGCTTTGGGCTTAGGCAAGGGAAGGGGGCTAGCTGGCCTACGGGTCACCACACTCTTAATACCACGTTTTTGTACAGAATTTGATGGCCGATTCTTTGTTCTCTTGAAATAAACTGAGGAAAACTGTCCTGTGCTGCCCCCTGCTCTCTCTGGTTTGTACTGGACGTCATGGACCTTCTGGGGAGGATCAGGGATCGTGAAGGGGCAGGAAGATGAGAAATAGGGACACCTTGATGCCTGGAGGTTTTCCAGGGAAGAGGTTGGGAGAATCTCATTTTTTGTTTGATGTAGAAACAGCCCGATGACTCTCCAGACCTAACTGCCACAGAGGACCTTGAAGAGCATGCATGTCCTACACCATGGATGATGGGTCAGCCTTTACCCTTCCTTCAGTTGGCATTTTAAAAAGTCGTTTTGTGTGTATGAATGGTACCTGTATGTGTGTCTGTGTACTACTTACACAGACATCTGTAGCAGAACTGACGTTAAAACAGTTGTGAGCCGCCATAAGCATGCTAGGAGTTGAAACCAGGTCCTTTGTAAGAGCAGCCAGTGCTCCTAACTGCTGGGTCATTTCTCCAGCCATCCACAACCCTGGCATTTTGATACTGTTTATAAAAAAAGAAAGAGAAAAGGTTGCCAGCTTTTGAAACCAGATCTTTTTATTACAGTCTGGATCTCTGGCCTCTTTAAAAGGAGTTGGTCAAGTCAGCAGTAGTGGTCCTCACTCCAGATGGCGGGCGGCAGATGGCTGAAGCTGAATGGATGGGATACCTTCACTTTCCAGGCAGCAAGGATGTGGCTATGGGCTTACCATTTACTACTGGGCTGACAATTGTGTTTTTGTTTATAGAGTTAAAAGGCAAATGAAAACAGGCTGTGGTGGCGCACGCCTTTAGTCCCAGCACTCGGGAGGCAGAGGCAGGCGGATCTCTGTGAGTTCAAGGCCAATCTGTTCTACAAATCAAGTTCCAGAACAGTCAGGGCTATTACATAGAGAAACCTGGTCTCAAAACAAAACAAAAAAAGCAGACGAACCCTTCCTGGCCTCTTTAGAGATGGATGGGCGCCACACCTGGCCGTTTCCGGCTTGTGTCTGCCTGGCTCTGTCGTGGCAGGCCTCAGTCCTTGTTCGTTTGTGGCAACCCTGGCGCTCAAGCCCAGGGCCCGTGTGCATCAAGGCAAGTGGTCCTTGGTTCAGTCAAACTTCCTGTCCCAGTTCTTAGTTGTGTCCAATTCCGGTTCCTTTGCCACATTCCGGGACTGACTAACTTTCCCAGAAGACTTGCCATGTCCTGATGCCACATGGGTACTCTCCTTTGGCCCTCAGGCCCCAAGGAAGGAACACTTCATAAATGAGGGACTTGAGGCCCGGGAGGACAAGTGACAAAGTGGACTTCTTCCTGGACCCCTGGCTGCAGAGCCCGGAGTTCTGTGTGGTTTAGTGGGGTTTCTGTTTACAAGAGTTTTTCCCAGAAGCCTGGCCGAACGAAAGTGCCTCGAGTGGCCAGGGCCCTGCCTGCCTGTCCCTCAGACACCTCTCCACTCATGGCTGGGAACCAATCCATCTAACAGAGATACCATGACGTATGGGAGACCTTCTAGCTCATGGCAGCACACGAGGCTGTTTTCCAGGTCAGGGTGTTTCCTGTCCTGCTACTGCTTTCTTCCTCTCCACGGGAATCAAGTTGTGTGGCTTTTGTGCCTGATACACAGGAAGTTCCCTCCCACCAGGACACAGCAGAGTCTAAATTTCACCTCATAGCTGGTATCTTTGTTCAGTTTGTAAATGAAGGCTCTGCAGGTTATGGCAGCTCTTGTATAGGTGTGTGTGTGTGTGTGTCTGTCTGTCTGAGTGTGTCTGTGTGTGTGTGTGTGTGTGTGTGTGTGTGTGTGTGTGTGTCTCATGTATCCTGGGCTGGCCTCAAATCCCTGAGTGTTGAGGTTGACCTTGAACTTGTGACCCTCCTGCCTTCCCTCCTGAGAGATGGGATTACAGATGAGCATTGTCACATCTGGTTTATGTGATGCTAGAGACTAAACCAAGGCAGGGTTCTGTGCAGGTTGAACAAGCCACCTGGAGGGTCGGGACTGGCAGCGACCATCGGTGACACTTGTCCACCAAGCACATGACACGCAGAAACAAAGTGAGTAGCGCTGTCAGGAGAGGCGCACAGTGGATTGGGATGGTGAGAGATGGAAAGGGCTGCGAAGGGAACTCTCAGTGCTGCGAAGGGAATGCTGGCACCCTGCCCGTAAACCCAGCACTGAGGCTGGAAAGCGGTTTCAGGCCAGCCTCAGCTACACAGTGGAACCATGCTTTACAAAGAAAAAAAAGTTGAATTTTCATATTGACTATACGTTGAAACAGTAACACATTGAATATATTCAGTTAAATGAAATATATTAAAGTTGACTTTCTTTTTCTCAGTCCTTGAGCAATTTTCTGCATCTTAACCCCATGGCTGGGTAGTGGGTAAAGGCTGTCACTCTGGCACAAGGTGCCACCTGCATGACTCCTCCTCCTAGGAGGCAGTAGTCTGGTGACCCAGGGGTGTAGGGTAGAGACACTTGCCTTTTCTCCAGGCCAGATTGAATGTATTTGAAAACACAGGTCTAAATCTCATCATGGATTCTGTCCCGACTGACTCCGAACACGCATCGCCCTGTGGAGTGCCTTATGGGGTAGAGCTACTGTCTTCTCTTTCTTGGCCTCAGCCTTAGCTCTTCAGGGCCAGGGTGGGCTCAGGGTACAGGTGACAGGCAGGGCTTCCTCCCTGTCAACACTTCCAGCCGGCCGTCAGCAGGGTGACCAGCACTTGTGGGTAGCGGCACTTGTGGGTAGCAGCACTTGTGGGTAGCAGAATTGTAACCCTTTTCAGGAGGTCCCCTCCCCCTGCCACTCAAGGAATGAGAGAGGAACAGACAGAGGACAGGGTTACTCAGAAACCCCTCAGAGGGAGAAGAGCTCTTTACTGATGCAGGTAAGGATGTTTAGCTGTCTGGCATCATAGCCAGGCGGGGGGCCTTTGAAGCCGTCAGGTAGGGGGACAGAGCTGAGCTGCTGTAACTCACACTGTTGGGGCCTGCGGTAGGAGGGTTGGCAGGGCTGGTGGTGGATGATGGGGAGAGGGTGTTCAGCACTACACCACCTTCATCCAGGGAGCGCTTGTAGGGGACTGGAGCCTCATCTCGGAGGTCCTGGAAGGCCAGGTAGGCCTGGAATATCTGCGGGCAGGAAAGGGCAGGGTTTAAGTTGGCTGTGATGGGACAGGAGGACAGGGAGACCCCGGGGACTGGCCTGGGGGATGCACTGGATCGCTGCTCACTGCCCGACATGCCCGGGATGGGGGTGTCTGAGGAAGGCAGGCTCAGAGGATGACGGCAGAGACCCAGGGAGAGTTCTGATCCTAGTCACCAGATGCACAGCCTTCCCAACCCACCCTGGAGGGGCGCCAGGACTTGTCCTCACCCAGACAGGGACGGAGAAGAAAGCAAAGGCAATGGCTGCCTTGGCGCTGCTGTTCCCCAAGAGGAAATGCTTGAACTTCGAATGCTGCCACTGGCGAGCTAGGAAGCAGAAGGCCACAAACCAGACACCTGCCCAGAGGACTGGAGGGCAAGGCAAGGGAAAGAGGTGGAGAAGCTGGGGCACGGGCACGGCGTGCTCGGGGGGCAGGGAGTCCTGTGTCACCCCCCCCATGCTAATCCAAATCCCTCAAGAGTCCCCAGAAGTCAGCTTCTCGAGCGGCGTTCCCATGTCTAAAAGAGCCGGAGCTACATGTAAACCTTATCAGAATCTCAAAGGAGCCCAGTTGCCTGTGGGCCAGCCACATCTCATGTGCTCAGGGGCTGTGTGAAGGGTCCTTCACACAGAGGACAGCACCTTCTCACACAGAGGTTCTCTGACAGAAGTGGTCTCTGGCCCCGAGGAGCTGGGATGGCTCCTGGGGAGGGGAAGGGAGGGCCTGGTGTAAAGCGTGGCCGTCCATCCGGGTGCTACCTGTGTGCTGGTGCCAGATACCATGGCTGTGCCGTGCTCGGAAGCAGGGGGCTTGCCATTCACTGGGCAGCACTGGCTCGCTCACATGACCACCTCAGCCTCCGTCTTTCTTGTGAACCGAGGAGAGGAAGCCCACACCTTGATGGTGTGCCTAACACTGGAAAGTGCTCAGCAGGTGTCCATATAACTGTAGGCATCCCTTAACTCATTTCACACCCAGAAACCCTGCAAGGCCGCCTGCATCCCAGCTTCCGCTGAGGGCCCACCTGGCTCTGCGCTCTGAATCAACTTCCTGCCACAGGGTGGGCCTTTCAGGCTGTGTTCAGTGGCGGGGGTGGGGGTGAGGGGGGGTCTGGAATGTGAGGGGAGAGCAGCTCGGGCTGGAGGCGGTGGGATTGGAAGGAAGGGCTACAGGATGCTCTGGGAGGAGCCAGAGTCAGACCCTCATAGTGGAGGGACCGTGAGGCAGCGGTCTGGGCTAGGCTCCAGACTGACCAGTAAGCACCGGGGAGTCCGAGAGGGCTGAAGGGAAGGGGAACTGTGCAGGATCCCTCGGGACTCACCAGCCAGGATGAAGTCCAAGAGCTGGAAGGCTGTCTTAAAGCGGGTGCCTGTGATGCGGCTCTCGCCGGCGTCTAGGGCAAGGAAGACCAAGCAGCTGAGGAAGGACAGGAAGCCAGCTCCAACTGCGAAGCTACAGGCCACGTGATTGCTGTTGAGGACGCAGTGGAGCTGAGGAGACTCCGCCCTGTTCTGGTAACCATCAGTTAGTAGAGAGGAAAAGACGATCAGGGAAAAGACCTGTGAACCACAGTGGACAGGGCGGGACTCAGTGCCTCCTCCAAGATGCCCGTCCCCTTGGGAGGACACCCCGGGTACCAGGCATTCTGCAGCTGCCTTTCCTGATGCAGTCCCTGCCCTGCATCTCCTTTCCTCCAGCCGGGCTCCGGCCTAACCTTCCCCTCCCTCATCCCAGCCTCTCCTCTGCCCTCCCGCCCACAGTCCCTCAAGGCCCCCAGGACCACAGGACAGTCCTAGGCAACACAGTGCCTTAGCTAACTTCATCGTTGTCCACTCATGCTCTGCTACCGCCCTGGTCTTGTACCTAAGAAGAGGTCCCTCTCCTAGCTTTCCCTTTTCCCTTTCAGCCGAGGGCTGACACCATGCTAGTCAAGCTCTACCACTGAGCTCTGTCTTCAGCCCCAACTTATTGTTATTGTCATTGGTGTTTCGAGACAGGGTTTCTCTGCATACTCTTGGCTGTGCTAGAACTCTCTCAGACCAGGCTGGCCTTGAACTCAGAGATCTACCTGCCCCTGCTCCCGAGTGCTAGGATTAAAGGTGTGTACTACCACTGACCAGCTCAGGTTTTTCTTTTTGAACTTATTCATTTAACATGTATGGCTACTTGGTCTGTATGTACATCTGTCAACTACATGCATGCAGTGTCCACGGGGGACCTGGAGGTACAGATGTTGTGTAAACCACTCTGTGTGTTGAGGCTTGAACCTGTGACCTCTGGAAGAAGCCAGCTAGTACTCAAATAGCTGGGCCATTTTCAGCTTCCAATTCCTTTATTTTATTGTTGTTGTTGCTTTTCTAGACAGGGTTTCTCTGTGTAGCTTTGGAGCCTGTCCTGGAACTCGCTCTGTAGACCTGGCTAGTCTCAAATTCATAGAGATCCTCCTGCCTCTGTCTCCCGAGTGCTGGGATGAAAGCCGTGCATCAATTTATTTTTTTAAAAAGATTTTAAATTGAGCATGTTTGGCCCTGTGTATGCTGGATGTGTGTCCACATGCGCCTGCTTGCCTATGGAATCAAGAAGCCGGTATTAGATCCTCTGGAGCTGGGGTTATAGTTGTGAGGTAGGCGTGGGAAACTCAGCTTCTCTGCAAGAGTAGCAAACACTCTTAGCTGCCAAGCCATCTTCCAGCTCTCTCTGCCTCAATTCATTTTTTGAAACAAAATTGTGAAATAATCAAAATATACCAAAAGATTGCAAAGGCACAACACGCATGCGCTGACCACAGAATTAAAATAACACGCATGCGCTGACTACAGAATTAAAATGTCAGCATTTTAATTTACTTCAGGACTTTTTTTTTTTTTGAGGCAGGATTTCATAAGCAGCCCTAGCTGGCCTTGAGCTCATAGCCATCCTCCTGCCTCAGTCTCCCAAGGTCTGGGATTCTAAGCAGGGGGCACTGCATGTGGTTTTTGCTTTAGAATCCTTAAGCAATACAGCACGGCCTTTCGCTGCCCCCATGCCTGTGTACCTGCCTTCTGTGAGGTCATCCTATTACTACACTATGACAGACGCGCTTTTCTGAGAAAAGTCTGAGGCACAGAGGTCAAGGACCTGGATGAATTTTTCAGCTAGTGAGCAGCAGAGCTTCGACTTGGACCTCACGCTGGAACCAGCCTTGAGAGCAGAGGTTCCTGTTAGCAAAAATCTGTCACCCTGTAGTGTGGAAAGCCCTATGTCAAGGTACCCATGTGTCTACTGGGTAGAAAGAGAAGTTGGTTCAGGGGATGAGAAGGGTTGAATAGTGGGACTGTTGCCTGGAGGGCTGTGAGCAGGGCGGGGCAGGGCAGGGCGGGATTGGCTGTCAGTGTGGGAAAAGCCTTTGGGTGCTGTCTGGAGGGGCGGGCAAGTCTGCATACTGGGGAGTCAGGGCAGAGTAGAGTGGCAAGAGGTGAAGTTTGGGTGGAAACCAACGTTCTGGTGCTGAACTTAGGAAGTAGTAGGTTGAGATCTGAACCTTAAAGGAGTTTTACTGCGCATGGTGGTGCATGCCTAGAATCCAGGGGTTCCCAACCTTCATAGTGCTGCGACCCTCTAATACAAACTCCTCATGTTGTGGTGACCCCAGACCATAAAATTATTTTGTTGTTACTTCCCAACTGTAATTTTGCTACTGTTATGAGTTGTAATGTAAGTATCAGATATGCAGGTTATCCATGCAGGCAAGAGCTAACCCTCAAAGACCTCAAAGTCAGACCTGAGAAGGCATGAAAGCCAAAATTCTTATCTGAACTTTCTCTAATTCTAAGAGATTTATGTTGTGTGTGTGACTGTTTTGCCTGGTGCGTTCGGATCAGAAGAGGGCATTAGGTCCCTGGAACCGGAGTTAAGGATGGTTATGAGCAGCTGCTGTTTGGGTGCTCAGAGTTGAGCTCGGGTCCTCTGGAAGAACAAGAGCCATCTACCCAGCCCCTCATTAGAATTTCTTCGAGCATGGAAGGGTTCTAAGATGGCCAGGACCAGAACCAGGGATAGAGAAGTCCTCCGGGGTCATGTGGTCAGTGGAGTGGATAAAGGGTGAGAAAAAAAAAATCTCACAGTGCAGGTTGGTAGACAGCAGAGCCCTGAGGAATTCAGAGACACTTTGGATGTAGACCGGGATCAGTGATTGATGGTGTGTAACTGTAAGAAGGAAACACGAAAACGTTGGTAGGACGTGAACTCCCGGGGGGTGGGCTCTGCGGAGGGGTGTGTGTGTTCACTAGTAAATGTGTGAGAGTAACTCTCCTTGTGCGAGTATGAGGTAAAAGACTGACCCTAAGTTCCCTGCCTTTGTCCTATATCCCTTCTCTCTCCTTTGTTACTGCTTTATAACCAAAATAACTAGTCTCTCTTCTTGCCAAGCACTTTGTAGTCAAGTTCATGAAGGAAGGATGTAAGATGGCCTAGGACAATGATTCTCAACCTTTCCTACATATCAGACATTTAGATTATGATTCGTAACAGTAGCAAAGCTACAGTTATGAAGTAGCGACGAAATGATTTCACGATTGGGGTCGCCACAGCATGATTCCGCGCAGAAAGGTTCACGGCACTAGGGAGGTTGAGACCCAGGGTCTCGAGCTAAGGGTTCCGCCTTGAGGAAGTTCCTTACACTGCTCCTGCCAGGATGGGGCAGGGGAGGACAGGAAGGCACACCAGTCATTTCTGAGATCACGTTCTTCCCTCCTGTGCCACCTCCCTGGGACAAAGGGAGGCACACACCTTATCTACCACTTCTGTTTTCGAAGGTGACAAGTCTACCACATTACGACCGAGTAGAAAGAGAGTTTCTGACTCTCCAAAGCTGTGTGGGTGTGAGCAAGTCATTCAGACCTTGGGACCTCAGTTTCCCAGTGTGTGTGTTGCGTAGGACAGTGATGGTCCTCAGGGCTCACCTGAGGAGAGGAAGCAGAGCCTTAGAGCTAGCTGCCTTAGGGTGGGGCTTGAGTTCAGCCCCCCTGACTTCCAGGCCCCAAGGCTGGCCCCGGTGGAGCCTAGGACATTGGAAATGTGGGAAGGGGTACTTGGTGTCCCTATTTCCTTGAAGCCTGTGTCCAGTCTCTTTCTGCACCCTCCCTGGCTTGTCTCCAGGAAGGGAGCAAAGAGTCATGAGTTCAGACACCAGCTGGCAAGGGGCATGGAGGGCATGGATAGCAGCTGCCCAGACTCCCACTGAGGAACCAGGCCAGGGGAAGGAGCCGGGGGAGGGAGGATGGTAGCACAGGCAAAGTCTGTGAGCACAAGGTCTGGCATGGCAGGCTGCCTCTGGCCCTGCTTGCCCTTGGCCACGCCAGCCAGGCTCTCAGCTCCCTCCGGTTTGCTCCTTCTTTCCAGGCTTTGGAGACACTGAGTGGATCTGAGTCTGACTCTCCTTCATCTGACGGGGAGTGACCCTGACAAATCACTCAACCTCTGCCTGGGAGTCTCAGTTTCCCCTTGGATTATACACGTTAGTGTGTGCTTGTCATAGGTTGTGGTGAGGAGAGAAGGCACCAGGGAGTAGTCACAAGAAGGACAGCGTGCCCCGATTCCTGTCATCCCCAGCTCGTCCAGCCTGCCCCTCCCTCACAGATGACTTATTCAGTGACAACCTTGCATACTGGGGAGCTCAGGCTTTGCCAGCCCCGGCTAGTTGGCCTGTATATGCACCGCCTCGTCATCTTCACAGCAATCCTGCTCAGGAGCCGGGTACTGGGACCCTTTTCTCTCAGATGGCCACGGGTTGGGAGGAGATGCTTCAGATAGTCTGACCATGCATGCTCCTGAGCCAAAGAAACATTTCTGGCAGTGAGAGGTACTGCTGCTGGTTATGCCTGGGGCAGCCCAGCCAGCAGGGGCGTGATGGACACATAGCTAGGACTCAAAGCTAGGCCTGTTTGGACTGCTCCAGAGGATGCAGACAAGATACTCTGGACTGGGGACCTGGGGAGAGTTTGGAGTCTAATCCGTGGAGAAGGACATGAGTACCAGCTTCCCAGAGACTCTCTCTGAGGAACCAGAGGGCTGGCTCCTGCTCCCACGACCCTAATCAGACCTCACTGTTGGGCCTCCGTTGCCAGTTCTATGCAGGGAAAGCTACAGCATAGTGGTTCATACTTATAATCCCAGCACTCGGGGAGGCTGAACACGAGGTCCACTGTGAGTTCAAGGCCAGCCTGGGCTAGGCTACAGACTTAAGACCCTGCCTCAAACAACAAGAAAAACAAAAAGACACCCCAAACATAAAACAGGGTGTGTGGGGCACAAACTTGAGAGATGGTTCAGTGGCTAAGAGAGCATAACGTGTGTCATGATTTGAACGGAATGGCTCCACCGGCTCCTATGCTTAATTTTTGTTTTGTTTTGAGACAGGGCTGTCTTGGAGCTTGCAACATAAACCAGGCTGACCTCAAACTCACACAGATCCTCTTGCCTCTGCCTCCTGAGTGCTGGGATTAAAGATGGCCAGGCCCATATGTTGGAAGGCTTGGTCCCAGTTGGTGGCACTGTTTGGGAAGGACTAGGAGGGGTGGCCTTGTTGGAGGGGGTGTGTCCCTAGGGGTGGACTTTGAGGTTTCAAAAGCCCATGCCGTTCCAGTTTTTCTCTTTCTGCCTTTAATTTGCAGATAAGAAACAAGCTCTCTGTGAGTTCGCGACCAGCCTGGTCTACAAGAGCGAGTTCCAGGACAGGCTCCAAAGCCACAGAGAAACCCTGTCTCAAAAAAAAAAAAAAAACAAGAGAAAGAAAGAAGCAAGCTCTCAGCAATGGTCCATGCCTGCTGCTTGCCATGGACTCGCCCTCTGAAGCTCTAAGCGAGCCCCCAGTTAAAGCCATAACAGGTGGCTCCTAATCAGCCCTGACTTCAGTCCCAGATGATCTGACACCCTCCAGCCTCACCAGCACCTGCATGCATGTGGGGTGTGTAAGCCCATGAGGGCACACTTACATAACTTAAAACGCCTTTTAAAAAGAGAAGGAAGCATCCATAGGCACAGGTAGATGACTCTTGTACTGATGTTCTGAGAGGGACAGTGATTGGTTCACGTCAAGTTTACGCAGCTGAATCTGAACGAGGTGTTTGCCCCCGGTGTCCAGATTCTTTGGGAATATGGTGGAGATTACAGAACGCACAGGAAGGGTCAGCACCACTCACATCTGGTGCCGGGGACTGTTGAGCACTGTCTTCCCATCTGCATGCCCTTTTCTTTTGTAAATAACAGGCCTCAGCCCTTGCTTTCCCCATCCCCTCCTGAGAGATGCGAAACAAATGGGTTCTGTCACCTCACAGAATGCAGTGGTACTGCCCTTTTCTGTGTTTACCTTAGTGGATGCTGGTTAATGTAACTTTCTGGCACGGTGAAAATGTTCTGAATCTATGCTGTTCAATCAGAGAGCCACAAGGTACCCGTACCACAAGGACTGAGTACCTGAAATACGGTCACACTGAATGCACAATAACCATTAGGATTAAATTAGGGGGAATTGGAGTATCTCATGTGGCTTGTGGCTACCCCACTGGACAAGCAGTCTTGATTTCATTTATTGAAATTATGGTCTTTTTCGAAGGGGCGTTTTTTCCTTCTCCTTTGAAGGGTTCTTTTTCCCTTTCTTTCTTTTTTGAGACGGGATTTCTCTGTGTGGCCCTGGCTGTCCTGGAACTCACTCTGGAGACCAGGCTGGCCTCAACATCACAGACATCTGCCTGCCTCTGCCTCCTGAGTGCTGGGATTAAAGGTGTGTGCCACCATCGCCCAGGGACATTTTTCTTTTTCTTACACTGCAACCAAGGCTGGCCTCAAATCCACGACAATTCTCTTCCAGCGGTCTCCCATGTGCTGGTACTACAAATCACATGCAAATATGTGGGACTCTTTCTTGTGATGAGTTAGCTGGCATTGAAAATGGCCAGAGTGTCGTGACTGCAGATGCTCAGTAAGAGGTGGTTTCAGTTTTGGGCTCTCCCTATCTGACCACATGTGACCCCTCCCTCTGTTCCCAGATCTGAGAACTGATCTCTCCTGTGTCTGAACCCCAGGGTCTCACCCCTCCGCAGATCCTCAAGATGCTCTTTGGTCTCCTCAGAAAGCGCACAGCCTCACTGTCCGCCAGGTCCTGCAGGCTGTCAGGAAGATGCATGCTGGCTACTGTTCCTTGGGCGTAGGAGCAGGGCTGTTGGGTGCTGCTTTCTAGGCACCACACTGCCTGTGTGCTTCAAGCCCCACCCCAGGGCTCACCTGCCGCAAGACAACAGGAATGGGAATGTCAGTCAGGGCACTGCCCAGGCTCGGTGGGGTGGAGGCTTTTTAGGTGTGAAGGGAGGGCGGAGTGTCCAGAGATGGGAGCGTCTGAAATGGAGCCCAGGGTAAGATATTACTGCAGACTCCCAGGTGGGGATGGGTGGACCGAGGGGCTGTTAGGAACAGAGGGGACCGGGCCAAGGGGCTGCTTTAGTGTTCAGTAGTCAGGAACGTGGGGCGAGGAACCGCTGGGTGGCGCCAGGTGCTAGGGATAAGGGATGATAGGGTATGGGGAAGGTTCTGGAAATGTGAGCAGAGCTGAAAGGCTGCTTGAGGTCCTAGAAGTAGGAAGTGTAGGCTATTGGAGCTGATAAGGGTCCTGAGGGCCCGGGGTATTGGAATACAGGAGGAGGGTGATGAGACATGACAGGCCTTCTGGGTCCTGAGTGGCGAGGGACCCTAGGACATGGGACACTGGTTAGAGGAGCTGTAGGCTCGAGTCCCTCAGGCTGTGTGGCTCCTTTGCCCCAGAATGAGCCCAGGCATATTTGAGGTGTCCCCTGACTTGGGTCATTTCCCATAACAGCTCTGTCTCAGGAAGACACGCTATCTCATCCTGGGGTCTAGTCCCCTCAGTCTTGGAAAGCAGCCGTAGCTCAAGATCACAGACATAGCAACCTTCTCAGAGCAGGGGCCTCCCCTCCAGGATCGTGGGGGCGGAAGTGCTGCGACCCCCGGGGGACGCTGCCGGAAGAGGACCTCCTAGTCTTCGAGGGCCAGGGTTTGCCTCTGGGAGGTAGAATCTTCCGTCGGCCTGCCCTCTTCTCCTGCTCCCGGGCGCCACCTCTAGGTGCCTTTTGGGTCCTCTTTTTCCCGCCTTTTCTGTTCTCTCCGGGTGATTGGCTGCACGTAAGTCCCGCCCCTTTCCTTCCCGCCTATCCAAGCTGAGCGGAAAAGGGGCGTGGCCCGGGCAGACGTTGGGCGGGTCGCCGTTGGCCCGGCGCGCGCTCCGGGGCCCGGCCCCGCCCCGGCCTCGTCCCTTCTTGGAAATAGCAAACCGGGTGACGCTTCTTTGGCGCGTGCGTATTACCTAAACCCAGATTAGCGGTGAGGCATGCGCAGTGGAGATAAAGGTTCTTAAAAAAAAAAAATGGTTTCAAAGACCCAGGCTTTGCGCATGCGTTGTGCTGCTTGCTGAAGCCTAGCCTCTGGGCCCAAGGCCTCTCCTTGCACATGCGCAGAAGGCTCAATGACAGTCGCGCGTCAGCTAAGGTGAGGGAAGAAGTATGGGGGATTGCATGGCCCAGGGAGGACGGCCCAGTACCCGCTACTAACTTTTCCTGGTTTCCCAACACTCCTGAGAGCTACCTCGCAGTCCAAGCTCCGCAGAGACCACCTGCACCGCTACAGGGGCCCCGGGCCTTCAGAATGCTCCAGACCTCTGACCCTCGCCTGAAACCCACCTAAATGTGCAGTGTAGGAAGACATGAGGAAGCTTAGCTAGAGCCTGGACAAGGACTCTCCCCTGAAGGGCGGGGTGTGAGGAGGTGCTGCCTCCAGTTGACCTTTGACACCCCCTCCTGTGCTTCTGTTTAGGCTCTGGGAAAGGGGGCTGGCCATGTTGCCTGTGACCTGGGGGTCCAAGGTCCGAGCATGGTCCCTGGTGCCTGCTCTCTTCGGGACTCCCCGGGCTCTGTCGTCCCTGGCGAACAGGATGGGGGTGTATCGAAAGATGTGGAACCCCACAGAGCCCTGCAACTGGGCCCAGCAGTACCGGGAGCGCTTCATCCCATTCTCCAAGGAGCAGCTGCTCCGCCTCCTGATACAGGTACTGCCCATCCGTGGTCTAAGAGCCTAGGGACTACAGTTTCCAGCCGACCTTGCGACTGCACCGCTTACCTGCTGTGGACTGCTCTAGCGCCCCCTGGGAGTTGTAGTTCCTGGTCCTTTTAAAGTTCCCAGTGGTTGCAAGAGTTGGAATGCAGGGCCAAGCGCTCCGAGATGAGATGCCTAAAATGGACTCCAGACCCGACTTCTTCCGGGCCTTGAACAGGCACTCTGGCACACGAGTTTTCCCCTTCAAATAGATACAACTATCATCCTCATCATTACTTCCTACCACATAATAAAATTGTGCCTGCAAAGCTGTAATCACAATTACTATCGCACCGAGTTCTTACTCTGTGGCATGGGGCTACATGTTTGTCAAGTATAGAAAATCATAACCCAGTAAGGAAGAGACCACCACTGTCCCATTTTACAGGTGACCCATCTGAGGCTGCAGGTAGTCAGTCAGTACTTACGCTTGCTAGCCTTCAAGAGTGCGTGCCTTGCCTCATCCCTGATCTGTTCCAGAGCCTGAGCTCGGTCAGACCTACCATTGTTGAAGGTGATCATTAATATAATAGTTATTTACTGACACCTGCTGTGTGTACCAAGTCCTGTGCTAGACTTTATATACACGTGTGTCCATATGAGCACATATGTTTTCATTAAAATTTCCCCTAGTTGGGCTGGGACTGTGGCTTAGCAGTTAAGAGAATTTGTTCCTCTTGCAGAAGACCCAGGTCCTGTTTCCGGCACCCATATGGTAGTTCATAACCATTCATAGCTCTAGTTCCAAGGGATCCAGTGCTCTCTTCTGACTGCTGCTGGCAGGTACTAGGCTCTTACCTGGTACATAATCACATACGTCAATACCCCCCCACACACACACAACAGATGAATGAATGAATGAATGAATGACATTTCCATAGCCATGTGCACTTGAGGAAATTGAAGCTCAGGTAGGTTTGGACATTTGTCTGGATAACGGACATCTTCATGCTCTGGAGCCACATGGGCCTATCATGACCCTCAGCAAATGGCTGCACTGGGCCTTAGTGCCCCCTTTGGAAAACTGGGGTTCTGACTCCGTGAACCCTGTCCCTTTTCTGGGGGATGATGCTCTGCCACGGAAGAGCACTTGTCACATGCTACACATTTTATGAATGTGCAAAGTTAGTGGCAGAGCAGGGGCCGAGCCTCTGGATCTGGAAGCCTTCTCTGTGCTGTGTTTGCTGGCTCTGTACGATTGGCCAAATCAGCTTTTCAAGAAAACATTTAAAAGCCCAGAGTTCGCATCCTGTATGTGGGTTGCTGTGGAAGGGTTTCTCTGGAATTAACTAGGTTTTCTTTCTGGGTGCCAGGAGTTCCACCCGGGCCCGGCAGAGAGAGCGACTTTGGAGGCGTTCTCGGCTCATGTAGACTTCTGCACCCTGTTTCATTACCATCAGCTCCTGGCCAGGCTGCAGGTGAGGGTGAGGATGGCTGTCCAGTCCTGTCATGCATGTTTGCTCTGTCTGATTGATACATAGTGACTGACACGTGCTTGGACAAACCAGGGTAGCCATACCCTCATGGAGTTGGCATTTCAGATGGGGAGCCAATAAATAAAATGAATGTAAAATATGATGTCTGGTTGTGGGATCTGCAGGGAGAAGGGACTTAGGTCTTTCCTCCCTCCCTTTCTTTTTTTCTCTCCTTTTAAAAATGAGACATTGTCTTACTATATAGATCTGGCTGGCCAGAATCTGTGTAGACCAGGATGTCCTTGAACTCACAGAGGCCCTCTGCTTCCTCTGTGCTGGTATTAGAGGTGTGTGCCAGTATGCCTGGAGGAAGTTAACTTGTTGGGCTGCAGAGGGTGGCTGGTGTACTCTGTCTGTACTGAAGGAGAAGCTTTGGAAGGATGCGATGATACTGAGATAAGAGAATTGGTGTTTCAGACTAAGATATGGTAACAAAATTGCTGTCAGGTGGGTGTTTTGCACACTAGAGTTTGTTCCTCAGGGACATCAGGCTCTAAGTCTGAGCTCAAAGTGTCCAGGGTCTAGGGTCTAATGGGGTTGCTTCCTTATTCACATCAGATGCTCTCAGCCTTGCCCTGACATGTGGAGGGTTGAGCAAGAGCTCTGTGCTCTCGTATAAGGATTTTGACCTCTGTGAGGGCTCTGCGGTCACCACTGCAGTCTAACCTGTTAATGTCACGTCCTGGCATAGAGGCTGACCTTTTCCCTCTGGCTCTTCCATAGATTACACAGAGCTGAGTGTTCCAGGCTCAGGCATGGGTTTCAGTGTCAGAAAGGTCACTTGAAGTAGTTAAGGCTGCAGGCCAACCAGATGCTGACCATGGAGGATATCCTTAGGTTAGGGTCCCTTCCCATCAGCTGGTGAGGGGCAGAACTTTCCCGACATGTATGAGGTTGGGATGCCATAGACTGCTGAGTTGACGCCACACTCCAGCCTCTGGCTACCCTCCATGCCTTGAACAACAGCAGCCCTTCAGGGTAGGGTGCCCTGTGTGCGGCTGCAGCCTTCCCTGCTGCAGAGACAAAAGCCAGGCTCAGGGAGCACCTGGGAAAAGTTAAAGGTTACAGAGGTCACAAGTACAGTCCCAGACCTCCTCACCTGCCACCATGTGCTGTCATTGGGGCGCACGTGGCTTCTAGAAGCAGAGTTTTGTTTGTTTGCTTGTTTCTGCTCAAAATATTTTGCTATATAAAATTTACTCTCCTTCCTTCCCTCCCTTTCTATGAGATGGGATCTCACAATATAGCCCTGGTTGGCCCTGAGTGAGCGATCTGCCTGCCTCTGCCTCTGCCTCTGCCTCTGCCTCTGCCTCTGCCTCTGCCTCTGCCTCTGCCTCTGCCTCTGCCTCTGCCTCCTCTGCCTCTGCCTCTGCCTCTGCCTCTGCCTCTGCTGTCACTAAAGGCATGTACCAGCATTCTGGGCCCTGCTATATAAAATTTTAAACACATAGAGATGCAGAATAGAATATGAGTGTACCCCGATTTGTGGGGCTAATTACCTGGTCAGGTGCTAGGAGGTGGAGGTGCCTTAGGTTGGAGCTGTGCACATTCCCCACCCCCAAAAACAAAAACACAAAAACAGAAGAATTAAGGAGGGTTTTGCACAGGGAGCAGCCCCTATGGGCAGTGTGAGCAGGCGCCCTCTGGTGGTCTCTTAGTAGAAAGTGTGGTGAAGTCATACTGAAGTCCTGCAACCACAGCCCCAATCACTCACGTGGGTCCTGTGCCCCAGCCACCCAGCCTGCCTGCCTGGACAGTCCCCAGAGCATGGGAAGTGCAGCTGGCGAAGGGGAGCCTTACAGGTGGAGATACTGCTGGCCTTGGGTTCAGTGTCCCCAGCTGTGCCCAGATCCGGTCCATGGTTAGATCCAGGGTCTGCTGTGAACATAGTGTGTTCAGGGCGACTCGGGAGGATGATGAGTGGGCAGGGTTTGGCTCTGCTGGGGGTAGCCTGAAACTGCGTGGAGAACCTGGGCTGTGCAAACCTAGGACTCAGGTGGGAGGCCACAGGGCGTGGGTTAGCACCAGAAGGCTGTTGCCCTTTATTCTCTAGCAATGTGAGGCTGTCAGGCCTGTAGCTGCCCTGGGGGGGGGGGGGCAAGTGTGTATGAACGGTGGGAGAAGCAGGGATTGGAGCCACTAGTGAGTGGGGAGGGACTGTGGTCTGTGTAGCAGAGCCCCTGCCTGCGACTCCGCATGGAGCTCAGTATGCAGAGTCTGAAATGGTGCCTGCTGCAGCTTGGCAAGACCCACTGGTGCAGCAACTGACCTCATGTGGGTTTAAGTTGAACCTTGGAGTCTGGTAGTGCACTCCTATAGCCCAGCATTGGGAGGCGGAGGATCAGGGGTTCAAGGTCAGGCTTGGCGACATAAACCTGTTTCAGAAAACCATGCAGGACCAATGGCTCAGTTAATGAGGGTGCTTGCCACCAAGCCTGGTGACCTGTATTTGATCCCTGGAGCCCACATGGTAGAAGGAGAGAACTAACTCCTTCAAGTTATCCTCTGACTTTCACACATATTTCATGGTGTGCCTCTCATACTCTCATTCTAAGGAATATTAACATTAATATATATCTATATATATACACACATATATATATACATACACGCACACCCCCACTCATATAATCTCATGCTAATTATCTCTGTGTGTATATAGTGTACACACACACACACACACACACACACACGCACACGCACACGGCTGGAGAGATAGCTCAGTGGTTTGGAACATGTGCTGGTTTTCCAGAGCATCTTTTGGTTCCTAGCACTCACATAACCACTTGTTAACTACAGCACCCGTGACCCTCTGACCCTTTGTTCCTCAAAAGCTCCATAGCGGGTAATGAGATGATTCAGCAGGTGAAAGTTCTTGCCACGAAAGCCTGATGACCTCAGTCCAGCCCCGGGAGAATCAACTCCTCAAAGCTGTCCTCTGTCCCTCCACCATACACAAACACACCAATACTACACAAAAGTTTTGTGGGGCCTTGTAGGTGTATGATTCTGCTCCCCAGGCGTTGGAAACCTTGTAGGTGTATGATTCTGCTTCCCAGGCGTTGGAAACCTTGTAGGTGTATGATTCTGCTTCCCAGGCGTTGGAAACCTTGTAGGTGTATGATTCTGCTCCCCAGGCGTTGGAAACCTTGTAGGTGTATGATTCTGCTTCCCAGGCGTTGGAAACCTTGTAGGTGTATGATTCTGCTTCCCAGGCGTTGGAAACCTTGTAGGTGTATGATCCTGCTTCCCAGGCGTTGGAAACCTTGGCAGCGCTTTGTTTATTTATGGAGGTGCAGCCTCATTGGTAGCCTGGGCTGACCTCAAATCCACAAATGTACAATCCTCCTGCCTCAGCCTCCCAAGCACTAAAGGGCTTTGTAAGTAACTGGCAGATCTGGGTGTGTCCATACCTCAGCTTTCACATCTGTAAGTAAGGATGACAATGGTCCCATTTTCACAGGCTGGAAATGCGCCCCTAACTGGCTTCAAGCATAACAGAAAAGTGTGCGGGAGTTGTGCTCACCATTCCCATCCTGCATTGAGATCTCACAGCAGAGTGCTGGGCCAGCTGCCGGACCCATGGGACTTATATCAGTGAGGCCTTGAGCCCATTCAAATGGGGAGGCCATGGGTTGGAGAGAGTCCAGCAGTTAAGAGTACCGGGCCTTTTCTTTTGGGTCACCAACCGGCTTCCAGATCATGACACAGAGACTAGCCAGTTTCGAATGCTTGGCCTTCGCTTAGCTCTTTTCTTGTTAGCTTTAACTTTACCTGTTTCTCTTCATCTTCACTTTCCCTTGGGGCTTTTTACCTCTTCCCTTTCTTTACATTTTACTTTCCTGCTGTCTTCATGTCTGTCAGGTTGGCCGGCCTCTGCCTGGCTTCTTGCCCTGGCCAGTTTTCCCCATTCTCCTCCAACGTCTCTGCTCTCTCCTTGTCCTTCTTTGTTGAGCCTAGATTTCTCTTCCTAGCTATCGGCCCGGCCTGTCAGCCCCGCCTATCCTTTCTCTGCCTGGCTATTGGCTGTTCAGCTCTTTATCAGACCTATCAGATGCCTTAGGCAGGCAAGGCGAAACAAATGTAACACCTGTTCTACATAATTAAACAAACGCAGCAAAACAGAAGTAACACACCTTTACACAGCTACAGTAATGTCCCACACCATAAACAGATGTGTCAGTCTTTGTCTAGTTAAAATAGTATTCCACAGCGGTTACTAGGGCTTCCTGCCCATGCGGAGGACCCGAGTTCAGTTCTCATCACCCACATGGTGGTTCATGACTGTCCACAACCCTGCTTCCAGGGAATCTGGTGTCTTTTTTTGACTTCTGTGGGGACAAGACATGCATGTGGTACATATACATGCATGTAGGCAAAACACTCATACACAAAATAAAACAAATCTTAAACAATTAAAACAAACAAGCAAAAGCAAATGGGAAGCTCGTGGTGGTTGTATTTGCATTGCAGGTGGGGAACAGTAGACTAGGAAAAGCACGTCTGTGCTGGGGCAGCAGACTCATGGGCAGGGGTGAGGAGGGAGAGGAGCATGGGGAGGAGGGGCACCAGCTCATGTACCGTGCCTAGGCTTCTAGCGTGAAGCTCTCGGAGGAGAACCTGGCGGGTGATGCCTGAGGGATGCTCTCCTCCCCTCCCCCTCCCCTTGAAGGCTGCAGCTTCAGGCCTAGTCATGCAATCTGTCAGGTCATTCTGGGCATCTGTGGATGTGGTCTACGGCCAGCTTTGCTTGAGCCCTGCCCATGGCCTCCCCATTTGAATGGACTCGAGACCTCACTGATCCCTTCAAGTCCAGCCCATTCTCTGCACACTGCTGGGAAACTTCAATGAAGGACGGAAAGCGTGGATGAAAATCCTGCACACTTTTCTGTTATGTGGAGCCAGTTAGAGGCGCATTTCCAGTGTGAAAATGGGCCCATTGCCATCCTTACTTACAGATGTGAAAGCTGAGGTATGGACACACCCAGCATCTCCCTCTATCAGCCTTTGCTCAAGCTGTTCTGTATGGAGCACTTTCCACTGGCTTGGGTACCTGCTCAGAGATTGCTCTGAGACTCTGAGACCTGTTGTCGATCATTGGTGGACTGGGTTCCACTTCTTCCAAAGCCAGTCACACTGTCTGGGACAAATACACATCATGCTGGGACCAGGTAGGCTAGCATCTGGGATTCTCCCTGACTCCCCCCCCCCCCCAAAGTGTTGGGGGCAGTCGTCAGTACAAAAGATGTTGGGGGTGGCTGTCACCTCCATTCAGTCCCTATGTAGACCTGTCTCCTGGTGACCTGGCCTTGGCTGCTTGGCAGACTGGCCTCCTACAGCTGCTTTGGAGGAGGAGGGACCACCTACTCAGGGCAGACCTCAGGAGGAAGCTGGAGATGTGGCTGAGCTTGTCTACACAATGTTTTGTTGGTTTTCTTCCTGAGATGGGGTCTCACTATGTTACCCTGGCTAACTTGGAATTCTTTCTGTAGGCCAGGCTGGGCTTTCACTCACAGAGATCCACCCGACTCTGCCTCCCGAGTACAGAATTAAAGACGTGCACCACACCCACCTGCACGTGGGTTTCAACATGTGTGTGGCAGCGGAACACTCTCCTGGAGAGAGCACACAAGACTGAGCTCTGGGCTTTCTCAGTCCTCAGGGGCCCACATCCCCATGCTGTGTGGCCTCCCTGTTTTTTCTGTCATCTCTCCTCAGGCCCTGTATGACCCCATCAACCCTGACAGGGAGACCCTGGACCAGCCATCCCTTACTGACCTCGAGCGTCTGTCTAGCGAGAAGGACGTGCTGCAGGCTCTGAAGCCCCTGCTGGCTCAGGCCAACTTCTCTCCACTCTCTGAAGATGCCCTGGCTTATGCACTTGTTGTCCATCACCCTCAGGATGAGGTCCAGGTACCTGTCCCCAGAGGAGTCACATTTGCTTGCCTACAGAAAGCTCCCCTTTCTCCAGCCACTTTGGTGCCCTCTGTCAGGAAAGGGCCATCAGATGAGGGTCTAGGGTCAAGTACCGTGTTGCCACCTGACAAGATTCCATAATTAACAATATAAAACACATTCCAGGGGCTGGAGAGATGGCTCTACGGTTAAGGGCGCTTGTTGCTCTTGCAGAGGACCCAGGGTCTGTTCCTAGTGCCCACATACCTATAAGCTGTCTGTAATTCCAGTTTCAGGAGTTCCAGTACCCTCCTGAGTGCTGGGATTAAAGGCATGTGCCACCACTGCCCGGCTGCAATGCACTTTCATACACGAAGACCAAACCCCTATACGTATAAAATAAAAAATAAATCTTAAAAAAAAAAAATCCAAAGACTGGGTGTGGTGGCCACGCCTTTAGTCCCAGCACTCGGGAGGCAGAGGTGGGTGGGTCTCTGTGAGACAGAGCCCAGCCTGGTCTACAGGGCCAGTACCGGGATAATCAGGGCTACATGTGACGCCCTGTCTCAATATTCCCCCCCAAATTTTTTGTCCCTAAAAACCCTACCAAAAAATAACAACAACCAAAACCCTCTCTATCCTCCCTTCCACCAAGACAACAAAACTGAACAGATACTAAATCTCCAGTCCCACATTTTAGTGAGTGTTAAGATTTATTTTGTCTAGACACATTCTGTCATATTTTAGGATGTGATCTGCCCGTTGTGGAGAATCGAAGTTTCAGTGACAATGTCTTGTCTTTGTAGTTGCTTCATAAATGGAGACTCTTAAGATCAGTGCTCCTGGGGTGGAGAGATGGCTCAGTGGTTCAGAGCCCTGGCTGCTCTTCCAGAGGACCTGGGTTCAATTCCCAGCACCCACATGGCAGCTCACAACTGTCTGTAACTCCAGTGCTATGGGATCTGTCACGTTCACACCAATGCACATAAAATAAATTATTAAAAAAACAAAACAAAACAAAAAAACAAACCAGTGCTACTTTAGATTCTAAGACGTCTCCTGTGTGCAGGCCCAACCCTATGCAATGTACAACATGAACAGTCATGTGTGAGTCCTGTACCCACACATTCCATGATCAGTGACAAAAGGCAGGGTCCTTTCTGGTAGGATGTGTACTCTGGCACCCGGCCTGTAACATCTCCCCTGCTTCCTTTTCCCCGTTGGCAGGTGACAATAAATTTGGATCAGTATATCTACATGCAATTCTGGGCCCTGGGCCAGAAAGTTGGGCAGATGCCCCACATGTCCAGTGTGGGCTCCAAGCGTGGCTTCTTCAGGAAGTTGCCCCCTGTGGAGAGGTGAGGAGGCCCCTGTTCCCCAGTTGCAGCAAAGGGGAGCAAGGTTTGAGTGGAGAGGGGGCTGACAGGTCAGTATCTATCTGGCTTTGGTGTCTGGGGCCCCAGGGAGAAGTCAGAAACGGGAGGCACAAATTGTCAAAATGGAGCCTTTTCTTTCCAAGAGGAAGTGAGAACTACTGTTTGTATAGGGAGAGAAGGGGAGAGCGAGTCATCTCCATTTTCCAGATGAGGAAAACTGAGGGCCAGAAGAAGTGGCATGGCATGCTTTTGATGAACAGCTGCCGGGTCCAACAGGAGTGTATAATTAACCAGTCCCCGGGGTCGAACATGCGACTTCCGACCCCTTGAACTCAAGCATCTTTCTAGAAGGCCACTCAGCATGGACATGGGGCGTGCCCGAGTTCTTTTTATTGTTTGGCTTTCTGAGACAGGGTTTCTCTGTGCAGTCCTGGCTGTCCTGGAACTCGCTCTATAGACCAGGCTGGACTTGAACTCACAAAGATCTGCCTGCCCTGTTCCTGACTGCTGGATTCAAAGGCGTGTGCCTCCAGGCCTTTTATGTAGGCTGTCACTGGAAGGTGGTTGCCAAGTGAGCGGGTGGATCTGCCCAGGTCAACAGTCCAGCCGGGCACTCCCTCACAGGAGTGCCCAACAGCTTGGGTTTTATGGATCCCAGATGTGCTCAGGCTGACAACCAGGAGTAGTCATGGCAAGGTGAGAGGGCTCTGGCCCTCACACCCCTCACTCTGCACCCACGGCCTCCCTTCTGGCCCTCAGGAGATACTTCAAGCGTGTGATATTGGCAGCCCGGACCAAACGTGGGCACCTGGTTCTGAAGAGCTTCAAGGACACCCCACTGGAGGGCTTGGAGCAGCTGCTGCCAGAGCTGAAGGTGCGCACGCCCATGCTGCAGCGCGCCCTGCTCAACCTGATGCTGGTGGTCTCGGGAGTCGTGTTCTTCGTCAATGTGGGCATGGTGATACTGTCTGACCTCAAGATGGCCACCTCCCTGCTGCTGCTGCTCTTCGCTGCCTTCATGGGCCTGAGGGCCTCCAAGGTGAGCACCGTGGGTCCCTGCTGCTTGGACTGCCCGGCCAGGGCCCCTGGCCTTTTAGTCCTTCCGTGCTCCGGGCATCCTTACACCCTCCTCCTTCGCTCACCAGCACGCTTCACCCCGGCAGGGCCCTTACTCCCTGTAAACCCAGCCTTGGCATCAGCAGAGCGGAGTCGTAGTGGGCACAGGCTCAAGGACGAACCGAAGGAGTCGTAGTGGGCACAGGCTCAAGGACGAACCAAAGGAGTCGTAGTGGGCACAGGCTCAAGGACGAACCGAAGGAGTCGTAGTGGGCACAGGCTCAAGGACGAACCAAAGGAGTCGTAGTGGGCACAGGCTCAAGGACGAACCAAAGGAGTCGTAGTGGGCACAGGCTCAAGGACGAACCAAAGGAGTCGTAGTGGGCACAGGCTCAAGGACGAACCAAAGGAGTCGTAGTGGGCACAGGCTCAAGGACGAACCAAAGGAGTCGTAGTGGGCACAGGCTCAAGGACGAACCAAAGGAGTCGTAGTGGGCACAGGCTCAAGGACGAACCAAAGGAGTCGTAGTGGGCACAGGCTCAAGGACGAACCAAAGGAGTCGTAGTGGGCACAGGCTCAAGGACGAACCAAAGGAGTCGTAGTGGGCACAGGCTCAAGGACGAACCAAAGGAGTCGTAGTGGGCACAGGCTCAAGGACGAACCAAAGGATGAACGCTTTGGAGCTTGACCATGGCGGTTCATATTTGAACGTGACTACTGTTCTCCAGCTGTGCGCTCTTAAGTTGCTTAGCTTTCCTCTGCCCCAGCTCCCACACTGCACAACGAGAGTGGTTAGAGGACCTGATGTAGAGGGGTGGGCAGGGGTTAAGTGAGTCAAGCTGAGCCTGGCCACAGACAGGAAGTGCCACGTGAGGTCACTGTTGGAGTGAGGTGTGGCCATTACAGTAGGGGGGGTCTTTGTCCCCTGAGTTTCCTTCCTGGAGGGCTACTGTGATCACTAAGAGAGCCAGCTCCAGCCCCTAAGGACAGGTTTGGAAACTGAGCTCTGGGCCAGGAAGTTGTGTAGTTAATAAGCTTCCCCTCCGAGCTACAGCATAGGGTTGAGGTGCTCATGTAGGTGTTGCCCAGCCGCTAGGATTCAGGGTCAAGAGGGCAGGTGGGGTTGGCACGCCCAACCTGTGTCCTCCTTGCCACTGCGCGCCCTCTTGGCCCAGATGGATGGGAAGGCTGGCCCTTCTCAGCTTTTCTGGGCCTGCATTACCTCGGAGTGCAGCCCGCCACAAGCTGTGCACATCCCATCATTCACTTGCCAGCCCATTCGTTCCCAAGCTGCTTTCAGCAGTTTTGACAGGCTCTCTCTCAGGGAAACCTGTGATAAATCCTACAAAGGACGGCCAGGCCATGCTGGCCACAGGGGAGGCTGGATACAAAGGGCCAGCACACGGGGTTGGGAGAGGAGCGTGCAGCAGGGTTTTATTTTAAATCTGCCCAGTGTGGCCAGGGCGGCCCATGCCCACGCATTCTGGGCCTTCTCCTCAGGGTCGCAGGGAGCCACAGGTTAGAAGCAGAGAGGAGCTGCTGTGCCAGAAGCACAGTGCCGGGTGAGGCCGAGAGCAGGGCCCAGTGTTCTGGGGAGGAGATGCTGTCCGTCCCAGATGGACTCTCCCTCACGTCTCAGTGGTCCTCGGGGCTGCAGAGCCTGGCAGGGTGGAAGGGCCCCGTGGATCCACTCTGGTCCCCCAGGTAGCATTTATTATTCATACTCTAACTGGGGCCCCAGCCCTGGCCGCCCACTGGAATGCCCAGCCCTGGCCGCCCACTGGAATGCCCAGCCATGCCCATCGCTAAGTATTCACTCCTTCTGTGCTTCAGGGTCTCTGGGTCTGTTCTTTTTCAATCGTGGAAAGCTTCAATTCGATGCAGAAACGAGGTGGCCTGAGTTCTCACCAGTGCTCTGATTCCATCACACACCTCAGTCTCTGTCCTGGGTCCCTGTAATGCAAATCTTAGACGTCACCTGGGAAAATGGAAGAGCACTTGACAGTGACATACCGGCACTGGAATTTGCTAGGCTAAAACTCACCTTTAAAACCTTTGCACAAACCCATTAACGTGTTGCCAGATAGCAAAGCAGGGGGTGGCGCATTTTGGCCTCAGCCCCAGCCTAGGCTGCCAGGGCACTCTGGTTCTGCATGGCCCTGCGCCTCTGTTTCTAAGCCTGTGTTCCCACAGGTGTTTGGGCAGCGTAGAAGTGCCCAGGCGCTCGAGCTGGCACACATGCTGTACTATCGCAGCACATCCAACAATTCCGAACTGCTCAGTGCCCTGGCACTCCGCGCGCAGGAGGAGCACATCAAAGAGACCCTGCTGGCCCACAGCTTCTTAGCCCGCAGGCCAGGGGGCGCCCAAGGCCTGTCTGAAGGTAAACCTCCCATCACCTAGGTCTCTTCCTGCTGTGCTGGGCCTTCCCTAGTACTTCCCAGCCCCTCCCTGCCGTCCCCAGCCCCTCCCTGCCGTCCCCAGCCCCTCCCTCCTGTCCCCAGCCCCTCCCTCCTGTCCCCAGCCCCTCCCTGCCGTCCCCAGCCCCTCCCTGCCGTCCCCAGCCCCTCCCTCCTGTCCCCAGCCCCTCCTTCCTGTCCCCAGCCCCTCCCTCCTGTCCCCAGCCCCTCCCTCCTGTCCCCAGCCCCTCCCTCCTGTCCCCAGCCCCTCCCTCCTGTCCCCCAGCCCCTCCCTGCCGTCCCCCATTGCCAACCCTGCATTCTCTGGGCTCTCTATGTTGTCCTTCAGCCTCAGACCCCCTCTAGCTGCAGCTTGAACATAGTCTTTCCCCACAGAGACCTCCAAGTGGCTACAGTCTGAAGTGGAGAGCTGGCTTCTAGCCCAGTCTGGCTGTAATGTGGCCTTCAATGGACCCCGGGCCCTGGCCCACCTGCAAGCTCTGACTCCCACCTTCGGGTTGTTCCCACCAGCTGAGTTGCCACAACTTGACCCACTGGTCCTGGGCACTCCAGAGGCCTGGCAGGCTGGTGCGCGGGGTGGTAGCTACCCATCACCCTGACCACTTACTGCCAGGCAGGGTGTCAAGCTCCGCCTCCTCCATAGGAAGGTGTCAATCGTGGCAACCGAATCTCCTGCCTGGACTCTTGGTTGTTGACAGGTCATTATTTATGCTAGGTCATTAGTTTTGCTATGCTGTAGACTTAAGAGTAGCCAATCAGGGCGGCTGGCAGTTGCTAAGCAGCCTCCTGAGGCCAGCCAATCAAAGCCGTTTATTTCAGCTTGTAATTTGTTTCTCGGCCCCGCCCCTGACAGGAGGGGGCGGGACCTGGGGAGGTTTGACACAGCTGCTGGATTGCAGCCCAGAGTTGGCCACAGGGAGACGGGCCAGGCTGTGCGGGGAGGCCCTGCTTCGGCATCTGTTCAGCCTGCACAGGATCTGCCCGCCACAGGCACCGGGGCCCACCGCAGCCCGCCAGCCGTCTGGTTCTGGCACACCGAGGGCGACAGACACTGGGCACCTCAACGGTGGGCAGCCAATCAGAATCCCAGGAGGAGTCTGCTCTGTGAACCCATGTGAGATGAACCATCTGTTCTGCAGCTGATCCGTTCTGGTTGAAGGCACTGGGAACTTCCTGCCCCAAAGACTTGGGCCTGCATTCCATCCCGAGATCATGGCAGCTCAGGCCCCAGCGGGCTCCCAGGCCTGCTCTGTCTTGCTGCAGACACCACTTTGGCCTGGGTCTCCCTACATGTGCAATATTTATCACTTTACCTTCTTAAGGAATAAATAATGTTTAATAAATCTGGTTGGTGTGGCTGGAGGTTTTAGGGGGGTGGTTAGAACCCTGGAGAGCGGGCGTGGCTGGGTCCCAGACAGGACTCTCAGAAGCTCTGATGTCTGAGGGAAGCCTAGGTTGCAAGAGTCTGCTAGGAGTGCAGACTGTCAGCATGCAGTGGTACACAGCCAGGGTAGAGCCTGTGAAACCCTGCTGGCCACTGCCTGGGCAGGGTGGGGTTGTGTTGGCTGTACAGGTGGTCTCTGCTGCTGTGGGAAGGGTTGGGTTCTAGAAAGGAGAAGAGTTTGCAATAGGAAACAACTCCCAGTGTCAGTCAGAGAGAACACATGGAGGAGATCAACTCAGAAATGCAAGGCAGCCTGGGTCCCTGAGAGCTGGGAGAGGGACTGAGGCAGTTCTCAGGAGCTGGGAGAGGGGACTGAGGCAGTTCTCAGGAGCTGGGAGAGGGGACTGAGGCAGTTCTCAGGAGCTGGGAGAGGGGACTGAGGCAGTTCTCAGGAGCTGGGAGAGGGACTGAGGCAGTTCTAAGGAGCTCGGGGAGGAATGGGCGCATCCTGATCTTACCTAGGTAAGTTGCCCCAGGAAACTGGTGTCCCAGGGCAGAGAGCCTGGGAGTCGAGCTCTGGAAGAGCCTGGAGGGGGTAGGTGTTAAGGAAGGAGAAAGGAGCTGAGTCGGGCTCATGGTTGAAACGGTTTATTTTCTAGGGGACGCATTCATTCACGTTTCCGCAGGTGGATGTACACAATTCCACTGACCAGGGCAAGTGGGAAAGCCACCCAGGCCAGGGCAAAGCAGTAACCAAAGCTGCCCCCGCGTGGGTGCTGCGCCAGGATCTCCTCAGCATGGATGGCATAGATCAGTGCCCCAGAGAACACAGCTGCGCCTGTGGAGCCCGGAAGACAGGTGTGAGGCTGGCAGGGCAGGGAGGGAGACTGCCCTGCCCTGCGCTCGGTGCCCAGAGGTCCCACAGGCTCCCAGCTGCCACACGGCAGCTTCTCCTCTGGTCCCCAGCTGCTCATCTGTGACATAAGGCCATGGCAGCTATCCATCCACGGAATTCTTTTTGAGGGTTTTTTTTTTTTGGTTTTGTTTTGTTTGGGTCTGGTTTTTTTGAGACAGGGTTTCTCTGTGTGGCCCTGGCCATCCTGGAACTAGCTGTGTAGACCAGGCTGGTCTTGAACTCACAGGGATCTGCCTCTCTCTGCCTCCCAAGTGCTGGGATTAAAGGTGTGCGCCACCACCGCCTGGCTCTTTTTGAGTTTTTCGTGAGCCAAACATGGTTCTCTGGGAACCCAGGAATATGTTTCCCAAACCACCATGATCAACTCAGCCCTTTGCACCTAGAGCCAAAAAGAAAGAATAGAGCGATGTGTTCAGATCTCATTGGCTTCTCATCCCCCAATCCCTTCAAGCCTCAAATTATTTGACCTTAAAAAAAAAGTGGAACATGACTTGACAGCCTAACACTCAGCTACTCAGGAGGTGAGGGCATAGTTCAAGGCCAGCCGAGACGACTTAGTGAGAGCCTTTTTCCAAATAAACAATAACAAGAGAATCCACCAGTGTGGAGCTGGGCATGTGCCTCAGAGAGAGCTTGTCCTGCATGCAGAGGCCCTGTGTTATATCCACAACACCGAGCGACAAGAAAAAGTAAACTCCATCAACAGGTGTACAAGAAACAGCAGCTGGCCGATAAGATTCAGACTATGCCTTTTATGGTGCCTCTTAGCTGCCTCCATCCCGGGAACTCAGGGAACTCAAATCATTTACCAAAACCTACTTCTTAAGTACGGGCTCACCCCAGTACCCAGACCACCACCGCAGAGCATCTGAGAACTGCACCTCCACTAGCCCTGGGCCACAGAGGCTGCCTTTGGGGGAGGGCCTTTCGTGGTGTACTTCGATTCCCCTGATCTTGGGGAAGTGCTTACTAGTGCAGAGCTGGCAGAGGCCCGTGGCATAGAAGAGCCCTCCTGTCCGCATGGTGTAGAGCTGGAACATGAAGAGAATGAAGGACAGGCAGCAGAGGATGAGAGACAGAACCATGAGCACCTGCACTGCCTTCAGCCAGCCTGTAGGGGGAGACACAGGTGAGCTCACAGCCCATGACACCCCCCCACCCCCACTCCAGTCTCCACTTGCTGGTCCCTGCCCACTCCAGGTTCAGCCAGGCAGGCTTCAGGCGTGCATCCGTTACAAGGATCACACACCGTGCAAACACTTTCCTGACGAGCTCAGCCCCACCCTCACTTAGAAGTTTGGAAGAAGGTAACTCCATCTCTTTAGAACCCTGACCCTTCCCTGCTCGCCCCAGCTTCAGTGAATGGCTCCCGCATCCACAACACTAGCTCAGACTTTAGGGAGCTTTCTCCCCATTCCTTAAGCCTGCAGCCTGTGACCGCCACTCTTTCTGGATCCACCAGAACAGAGGCAGTGGCCTTTCCATCCAGACAGGCTGCCTGTGCCAGCCCCAGGCGCTCACAGCCTGTGTTCTGGTGTCAGTCCCGGCCCTGGCCTAGTTGGGGCCTTCCGCTGCTGCCCTCCCTGATATGCTCACCATTGTCACTGACGTTACTGCAGGCCCACGTTTTGGCGGTGGCGTTCCATGTGCAGTCATACCACAGGTTCAAGGACTCCTTCTCTGGGAGAGTCCACCAGGACTGGGAGGGACAGGGATCAGGGAGGGTGAGGAGAAGAGGGTGGCATCAGGGAGAGTGGGGAGGGCTAAGGGGGGACCAGGCTAGAGGGAAGGGACTGGCTTGGAGGTAGGGAGGCGGAGGCTTAAGAGGTGGGCCGTGGCTGGGGTTCACAGTGAGTTGGAAGCTTACCTTGTCCAAAGTAGCCACAAAAAGCAAGATAAGGATGAGGATGTGAAGGGCAGAGACCACTAACAGGAGCAGTGACATGGTAGCCAGATGCCTGCAAAGATAGGAGCACTCACTCCCGGGCAGGGGGGCTGGGGTCTGGCTTTCTAAGTCTGAGCCAGGAAGGCTGGGAAGGATGCTAGCGTCTGGGGTAGGAGGGCTTGGGAAGGCTCTTGGGGAGTAGGTTGAGCAGTCCTCCCCAGGAAGTAGAAGGGTGAGCCCCGGGCTCCTGTGCTCCTGGAGTGGCCTAGCGAATGCCCTACATGGACTTCAGGAGACGGATGGATGAACAGGGCGGACACTATATTGGTGCGTCTTCAGGGCTTGCCCCCAGGCTACATGAACGCTTACATTGACACCCCTTTCTAATCCATCAAGAGCAGGAGCTGCCCCGAGGACAGGCATCCTTGACTCATTCTCTTCTCCTGGGGTGAGTCATGGGTGACTCACCCCCCTCCCTCCAGCACCAGGGAAACTCCAGCCCCTGGCTGAGTCTCTGCGGCCCGGCCCTCACGCCACCCTACTGCAGACCCCACTGCTCTGGACACTTGGGGAGATGGATTAGAAGGGGGGGGTCTGGGTGGTGAGAGCACCTTCGGTAGAACACCCTGCCTTGTGCAGAGAGCTCGGCCTGGGAGCCCTCCTGCACCCCTCAATCTCAACAGAGAATGGAATGCCCCATGGAGAGGCTGCAGGACCTTTCCCATGGTGTGCTCTGCGAGGGCCAGTCCTATAGATGACCCTACTCTTTCCTGTGTCCCCACCGTCAAGGCGAGAGACCCCTCCTTCAGTTACTAGTGTCCTTGGGAGCAGAGTGGAGGGTTTCTTCCTGCCTAGGGTGCCCCTCCCAGGGAGCCATGTTGCCCAGTATATAAAGTCCCGTCTGAATAACGGATTGAAAACTTACCGAGAGTCGCTGGAGAAGTCAGAGTTGGAGTCTGTCCTCGTTTGGGCCTCTCGCCCCGCCCTTTGGCTCCCTCCTTCCACTCTGAGGCCCCCGCCTCCCTCAGCCTCCCTCACCGCCTTCCTCCCACCCCTTATTACCACCCTCTCCTTCCCCCTCCCTCCCTTTCTCTCTTCTGGTGGTTTCTGCCTCTCTTAACTCTCAATATATACCAACCCTTTTATATCCACTCTGGCCTCGCCCAGCTGAGCTCTGCAGGCAGGGGAGGAGGGCACAAGAACTTGGTTCCTTATTCTCTGCCCACTAGTCTCACTGGGGGGCATGTTCTGGGACCTCCTTTCAGGGCTCAAGGGAGAAGCCTCTAGGGCCCTGAGGTGGGGCACATTACCTCCTTGGACCATAAGCCTGCCTGCTGTCTTTGATGGAGTTTGGGGCAGAGTGGACTTTGCAGAAGGCCAGACTCCTGTGAATAGATCAAATTTTGAGGTGGGACAAAAAGTACGAATCTAAGGCCAGGTGGTGGTGGTGGCGCACGCCTTTAACCCCAGCACTTGGGACGCAGAGACAGGTGGATCTCTATGAGTTCGAGGCCAGCCTGGTCTTCAGAGTGAGTTTCAGGACAACAGGACAGGCTCCAAAGCTACACAGGGGGGAAAAATAAAGTATGGAAAGGAGCCACCATTTTCTGGTTTTGTGACTTTGGGCAGACTATTTCACTTCCCTGGGCCTCAGTTTGCTAATCTGTATAGTGGGTACAATATACAGCCAGTAAAGAAAATAGTGATGGAAATAATGACTGGGTGGGTGGCTGGGTGGGGGCTAAGTAACACAGGATAATCCTGGAAGGCCTCTTGGAGGGCATATTTGACCCGAGATTCAAGGAAAGGAGTCATTTGGATACTAGGGAGAAAAGAAAATTTCTCAGGCCCCGAGAACAAGCTCCTGTTGATTGGGGGAGCATACAGAAGTGTGGCTGGAGCACAGGCAGCCTAGGGTGTGGTGAGCAGGGACATCAGAGCGTTCCCTTGAACATTCATGAAGGACCTGGATTTTACTGTGTTATGGCAGCCCATTAGAATTCTCAGCACTGTAGTCCCAGGGTGGTAATGTGAGTGGTCACTGTTTATTCTCCGGACACTGAGTTCAGGGTGTGGGTGATGACTGAGTATACTGCATTCTTCGTCAGGGTCTGAGTTCTGGTTCTGATGAAGGGCTGGGGACCTGGTGATGGGCTGTGTGGGCATCTGATGGGGTCAGAGCTGGGGGTGAGAGCTGCCTAGACTCTGGAGCCACTCGCTGGCTGTGTGGTCCCAGGCAAGTCACTGACCACCTGTCCATGCTTCATCTGTAAAAGAGGGCTAGAACAGTGGGTAACATAGGTCTGGAGCAGTGTTTGGAAGTTTTGTGCAACTTAGAGCAGGCATTGGGGCTTCAAGTGGAGTCAGCGGAACTCGAGGAAGGGCAAAAACTTGGGTCCATTGAGTCCCAAAGGTAAAGTTTGGAATCCTAAATGAGGGTGGCTGGGGAGGGGGAACTCTATTGGGTCCCTGAGGGACAGGAGGCTGCATCCCAGGCCTGGGAGGAGGGCTGAGCCAGGACCAAGGAAGATGCTGACGGGCTGAGGAGGCTGGGAACAGCCCTAACACTGCTTGAAAGAGTAGACGCAGAGCGGTACTCGGCACACCTAGGGAATCCCCAATGACAGGGCCCCGCACAAGTGTAAGTATTTGGAGACCGAGGGTGGCGGCGGGATCTCCCCCGCCCAGGCCCCGGAGGAGCTCGGCCTCGCAGCTACTTCCTCCCACAGGAAACCGCAGGCGTCAGGCACACCCAGCCTGCAGCGAGCGGCGCCCACAGCCCGCTCCGCTCGCAAGAGCACCACGTGGGACCCAGCGCTTGGCCCGGAGAAGGGGCCGCAGGAGGCCCCGCCCCCCCCACTTCCGCCCCGCCCCCGCAAGCCGTTGGTCGCGCATGCGTAGTGAGCCTGTGTAGGAACTGCGCGGTGAGCGTCCCTCCAAACCATAAATCCCCCAAATGCCCAGCCCAAGGCACACACTTCTAGGGCCGTACTGAAGGGCCCCGCCCAGCCCTAACGTCTAGTCTTCTAAACGTTTCCCCAGGCTCCCCGACACACTGCGCGTCCCCACCGCGGGGCCGCTCCCGCAGGTCCCGGCCACCCGCCACGCTCCCTTAAATAACGGGGCCCGGCCCCACCCCTAGAGCCCCGCCCTTTACTCCTAAGCGCCCCTTCTCACTACAACCCTCGGGCCGCCCGCTCCTCCCGGCCCCTCCTCCTCCCGGCCCCTCCTCCTCCTCCCGGCCCCTCCTCCTCCTCCCGGTCCCCGCCCTCCTCCTCCCGGACCCTCCTCCTCCTCCCGGTTCCTCCTCCTCCTCCCGGCCCCTCCTCCTCCTCCCGGTCCCCGCCCTCATCCCGGCCCCTCCTCCTCCTCCCGGCCCCTCCTCCTCCTCCCGGTCCCCGCCCTCATCCCGGCCCCTCCTCCTCCTCCCGGCCCCTCCTCCTCCCGGCCCCTCCTCCTCATCCCGGTCCCTCCTCCTCCTCCCGGCCCCTCCTCCTCCCGGTCCCCGCCCTCCTCCTCCTCCTCCCGGCCCCTCCTCCTCCTCCCGGTCCCCGCCCTCATCCCGGCCCCTCCTCCTCCTCCCGGCCCCTCCTCCTCCTCCCGGTCCCCGCCCTCATCCCGGCCCCTCCTCCTCCTCCCGGCCCCTCCTCCTCCCGGCCCCTCCTCCTCATCCCGGTCCCTCCTCCTCCTCCCGGCCCCTCCTCCTCCCGGTCCCCGCCCTCCTCCTCCTCCTCCCGGCCCCCTCCTCCTCCTCCTCCCGGTCCCCGCCCTCCTCCCTCCTCCCGGTCCCCGCCCTCCCTCCTCCTCCCGGTCCCCCTCCTCCTCCTCCCGGTCCCCGCCCTCCTCCCGGCCCCCTCCTCCTCCTCCCGGTCCCTCCTCCTCCTCCCGGCCCCTCCTCCTCCCGGTCCCCGCCCTCCTCCTCCTCCTCCCGGACCCTCCTCCTCCTCCCGGTCCCGGTCTCCTCCTCATCCCGGCCCCTCCTCCTCCTCCCGGTTCCTCCTCCTCCTCATCCCGGCCCCTCCTCCTCCCTCCCGGCCCCCTCCTCCTCCTCCCGGCCCCCTCCTCCTCCTCCCGGCCCCCTCCTCCTCCTCCCGGTCCCCTCCTCCTCCTCCCGGCCCCTCCTCCTCATCCCGGTCCCCTCCTCCTCCTCCCGGCCCCCTCCTCCTCCTCCCGGCCCCCTCCTCCTCATCCCGGTCCCCTCCTCCTCCTCCCGGCCCCCTCCTCCTCCCTCCCGGCCCCCTCCTCCTCCTCCCGGCCCCCTCCTCCTCATCCCGGTCCCCTCCTCCTCCCTCCCGGCCCCCTCCTCCTCATCCCGGTCCCCTCCTCCTCCTCCCGGTCCCCTCCTCCTCCTCCCGGTCCTCTCCTCCCTCCTCCCGGTCCCCTCCTCCTCCTCCCGGTTCCTCCTCCTCCTCATCCCGGTCCCCTCCCTCCTCCTCCCGGTCCCCTCCTCCTTCCCCCCGGTCCCTCCTCCTCATCCCGGTCCCCTCCCTCCTCCTCCCGGCCCCCTCCTCCTCCTCCCGGTCCCCTCCTCCTTCCCCCGGTCCCGGTCTCCTCCTCATCCCGGTCCCCTGCTCCTCCCGGTCCCGGTCCCCGCCCTCATCCCGGTCCCCTCCTCTTCCTCCCGGTCCCCTCTTCATCCCGGTCCTCGCCCTCCTCCTCCCGGTCCCGGTCCCCGCCCTCTCCTCCCAGTCCCCGCCCCTCCCTCCTAGTCCCCGCCCCTAAGGCCCAGAGCGCCTCCCATAGCTCCGCCCTCCCTGGCCCAGGCCCCTCCCCTCTGCCTGCAGTCCCGCCCCTGGAAGTAGCGAAGCCCCGCCCCGACAGCACCCAAGCCCCGCCCGTTTGCCATTCTCGCCCTGGCTGCTGTGGGCCGCGCTGCACACCCGCGCCCCTAGTCGCCTTTCCCAGGCCTCCCAGACGCCGGCCTTCACCCCTGGCTCTTCCCCTCCGTCTCTCCCGGCCTCAGCTGCTTGCAGGCTCCTGGCCCCTCCGTTCTCAACCTTCCTAGTGACCCCAACCACACTTGAGTTTCCTAGCCACTCCCTAACCGTAGTCCTGCTGCTCTCACGGGTCCTAATGTAGAGACCTGATCTGCAGGCTATCTGCAGGGTGGCGCGGGGTCGCGGCCCTCGCCTTGAGAACCACTGTTCCAGGATCTTCTCAGCCCGGCTCCTGCCAGGGCCTCAGCGGGCCTCAGCGGGCGTCCCCTGTCCAGCACCCGGGTCCACCGAGCCTTCCGCTGGTGTGCCCTGCCCTCCCCAGCCCTCCGCCGCGGCTGTCCTCGGCTTCATTGGCTCCCTGTCTCCTCAGTAACCAGACCACAACAGTGAGCGTGGAGCAGCTAGGACAGTATCCGGGGCTCGGAGGGAGGCGCGGAGAGTCGGAGCCAAGGCGCGGCAGCAGCCGGAGTGTGTCTGGGGTGAGCGACGGCCCGGAGCCCCTGCGGGTGGAGGCCGGGAGAGGCGGCAGAGCTGCTGGTCGCCCCGCTCTGACTTGCGTGCCCTGGTGTCCCCTGCAGGAGCGCGGTCTCGGAGGCCACGATGCGTTTGGGCATGTCGGCCAGGAGCGCCCGCTCCGAAGAAGGAAGCGATGTCTTCCTGGAGGGACCGGGTAATTCATGATTCCACCTCTCCTCCGCAGTTCCTGTTCGCAGCTTCTCCAAGTTCCAGAGCCCGGAGCGCTCTTTCCCTGGGGCAGATTCGAACCCGAACAGAGGGGGGTCCTGATATGGAGGAGCCGAGCCAGGCCGTGGGGTGGCCGGGAAGATTTCAGACTTCAGGAGAGGGTTGAGCGGGGCCCAGGACATGCAGAAATATTCAGGGGAGCACGGTGACATGGTTCAGAGAGTAAGGCTCTGGGCACCAAGCCTGACAGCCTTCCACGTGCAAAAGAGAACCTCTGGCCCCTCCTTACACTACATTCATGTTATTTAAATCAGAAAAAGAAAAAGCGACGGCGGCGTGGTGGCACACACCTTTCATCCCAGAGCTGGGGAGGCAGAGGCCGTTTGAGTTTCATTTCAACCAGAGCTACATAGTAAAAAACCCTGTCTCCAAATAAAATAAAAAAGCCCAAGGAAGAGAGACCAGCATAAGCAGTACATGGCTAGGGTAGGAGGGTAGGCTTTCTCTACTGTGGGCCTGTGGGCACTGGTTTGGGTCAGTTCTCAGTTGATTCCTAGGTTCTGGAAGTGACTTTGCCCGGTCTCGCCCACAGTGGATTGGGAGCTCAGCCGCCTGCAAAGACAATGCAAGGTGATGGAGGGTGAGCGGCGGGCCTACAGCAAGGAGGTTCACCAGCGCATCAGCAAGCAACTGTGAGCTGGGGAGAAGGGAAGGAGGGAAGAGCGGTAGGTAGGGGAAGTGCCGGGGCAGGAGAGGAGCAGGGCCGGGAGTATTGATGAAAGGGACCGATCGGGGCAGGGGCTGGAGGAGGTACAGGGAGATTCAGGTGCTGGGTAAAGGGGGCGGGATCAGATGAGGGAAGGGGTTCGGGAGAAGTACGGGGTCGGAAGACGCACAAGGTGGGGTGAGGGTTGGGGTTCAGAGAGGGGCAGCAGGCAGGAGCTGGTCGTTGTGTTGAGCGCTGCCGGCTTGCGGCTTGCTGGTGTGGACCCTCCTTCCTGCTACTCATCCACAGCGAGGAGATTCGGCAGCTGGAGGTGTTGCGAGCCAAGCTCCAGATGCAGATCGGCGTGGCACAGAGCCAGGTCAAGAGACTGAGAGACACCAAGCGTTTGGAGGACATGGACCGGCTACTCAAATGCAGGGCCCAGGTGCAGGTGGAAACTGAGGCATTGCAGGAGCAGACCCGGGCACTGGACAAGCAGGTGGGTCATCCCATCAGGACTTGCAGTAACTGCTGTGAGCTGCGGAGGGCGACCTTATCCGAAAGATGGCGCCACCAAAAGCCTCCATCTGGAGCTAAGGATGGTTTTTACTTCTGTAAAACCAGTACTCAGGAGACTGAGGCAGGAAGGTTGCTGGAAGTCCCCAGACCACTCTGGGGTTACTGGAGAATCACACCCCTGCACTGTACCAAACATAATAAATTATCTCCCAAACTCTAAATTTTAGCTGGAAAAAGCAACTTTTAATACCTTTAACCATTGGGAAAAGACTGCTTTCTAACTTTGGGAAGTGTGGGTTTTTGTTTTTTTAAGATTGGGTTTCTCTGTATGGCCCTGGCTGTCCTGGATTTCACTGTGTAGAACAGACTGGCCTTGAACTGAGAGATCTTCTTGCCTCTGCCTTTGAGTGCTGGGATTAAAGGCCAGTGCCAGCACACCTGGCATTTTCTTTTTGAGACAGCGCTTACATGTTACCTTGGCTGTCTTGTAACTCATTTTGTAAACCAGGTAGCCTTGAACTTATAGAGATCTGCCTGACCCTGTCTTCTGAGTGTTGGTATTAAAGGTGTGGGCTACCACTCTGGGCCCTGGGAAGCAATTTTTCAAATTATTTATTATGGATACAGTATTCTAACTGCATGTATGCCTGCACACTAGAAGAGGGTATCAGATCTTATTTTAGATGGCTGTGAGCCACCATGTGGTTGCTGGGAATTGAACTCAGGACCTCTGGAAGGGCAGTCAGTGCTCTTAACCTCTGAGACATCTTTCTAGCTTCTGGGAAGAAGTTTTTAAACTAGTGGGTCCTATTTTTTTTTTTTTTTTTTTTTGTCTTGGAGCTCTTCATTTCTCGAGGTTAAAATTTATTTTTGTTTCACATTCACCGGTGTTTTGCCTGCATGTATGTCTGTGTGAAGGGCGTTGGATGCCCTGGAACTGGAGTTACAGACAGGTGTGAGCTGCCATGTGGGTGCTGGGAATTGAACCTGGGTCCTCTGGAAGACAGAGCAGCCAGTGCTCTCAACCTCTGAGTCATCTCTCCAGCTCCGTCAGTAAGGTTTTCTGCTTTATTTGTTTTTTAATTCTGAGATAACCCTCCGGAAGTCAGAGCCATGGTGAGAAATAGCCCTGAGAGCTCAAAGCCTTGTTTAGCAGCCTGGCAGGTTGTCTAACGTTCCTGTCCTGTTTTGGTGAAGGGTCTGAAAGTGGCCCAGCTGAGTCACACCCAGTGTGGACTGCAAGCCCACAGCCTGTGGCAGGGTGACAGCTACCAGTCAAGGGAAGTCACCCACCAGCACTAAGAGCTGCCACGCTGTGCCGTAGGGAGCCAGATGGTGGGAGGCAGAGGGGCCGCCTTCTCAGCGGTGAGTTGCTGTGCTGACTAGTTTTATGTCACCTTGTCACAAGCTAGACTTATTTGGGAAGACGGGATCTTAATTGAGAAAATGCCTCCCTAAGGTGTTCCTGGGGCTATTAGAAACCAGGCAGAGAAAAGTCAGCTTCCTTCCCTGGCTGACTGTGTTCAGCATGTGTAAGCTAGAATAAACCCTTTCTTCCCCAAGTTGCTTTTTGTTCATGGTGTTTTAGCATAGCAATAGAAATCTTAACTGAGACATCTGCCAGTAGTTATTTGATGAACTCAAGGGGTTTGGCTGATGTTTGGGTTGCAGCTTTGGGAGATCCTGAACCTACTGACCCACGAACTGTGACATCAGTATGATACCGATACAGTTTAAATATGGAGAGAATCCCCAAAGGACAGTTTCCAGAGACCAAAGAGAGGGGCTTCCCCACCCCTCACCGGATGCAGTACTCAGGAGAGTAGGCCCGGAACCTTGCATGGGAGCACAATAGAGCTGGTCCTGGTGGTGTGGGCACAGGTGAGCTGGCCCCGAGGGTGTGAGCAGGAGAACTCGCCCTGTACCTCATGTGTGCAGTGGGGGAGGGCTGACCCTGAAGGACCCAGATGCGCTGGCCCCGCCCCTCACTCAGCAAAGCAGAGCTGACCACTGACCGTGGTGGTGCAGGCAGAGGAGATGAAGCTGGTTGGCCAACTCAGCTACCCCCAGGTCCAGATCCATGGCTTTGAGTTTCACACACACCCACACGCACGCGAGCGTGCACACACACACGCACACACACGCGCGCACACACACACACACGCATGCACACACACACACGCATGCACACACACCCACTGGAGTGAGTGAAGCCCGTGGCCCTGCAGAACCAAAGCTGCAGGGTCCCCAGGACAACAACAGCATATGTGAAGGAGTCCCAGTGTGATTCTGTATCATTAGCGCAGCGGCAGCCAGAGACCCGGAACAGACCGATGGCCCCTTGCAGTGACCATTTGCGAGTGAGGGTGTTTGTACAAAAGGGCAGACCGTTCGAAGCATAGCACACACTGCTGCTTCCACCGTGAGATTTTTTTCTCTAATTTGAATTTAAATTTTTTTACTACTTTTAGGTTTCAAGGCAGAGGGCGGATACACAGGGATGGGGAGATGAGGAGGGTTTGGGGTGCATGACATGATTTCACAAGGGATCAATAAAGTTTAAAAAAAGATAGGGCTTCATGGGAAGCCCTTGGGTTCCTGGGGATGTGTCCTGGAAGAGGAATGGGAGCCCGTCTTTCCGTCGCTGGCTGTGGCTCCGTGTGGACGGGTTTGTTGTGAGGCTGGCACTGCGCCATCCCTACCTAGCGCCTTCTCCAGGCATCTAAAGCAAGGGAGCAGACCTGTGGGTTTGCATTGTCCCAGTGACCCCAGTGCTGCTGGCTGACACTCATGTTTTAGCCAGCACAGGACAAGCAGCCCACTGATTCTGTCATGAGAAGTCAGGAGCCATTTGTAAAAATAGTATGCTTAGATTGGAAAATGTCCATATTTAATTCCTTTTAAAATGTCTTTATTATTGTGTGTGTGTGTGTGTGTGTGTGTGTGTGTGTGTGTGTGTGTGTGAAGTATGTGCATGTGTACCCGTGGAGGCCAGAAGAGGCATCAGAGTTCCCCAGAGCGGGAGTTACAGGTCGTTGTGTATCAAATCATGTGTGTGCTGGGAACTGGACCCCGGTCCTCTGCAAGAGCAGCAAGTGCACCTAACTGCTGAGCGGTTCTCCGGCTCTACTTTACCCTTGAAACTCAGCATGTGGGCGTGTGCCTTTGCTCTGTCCCTCCTTTGGGTTCGGAGCTGGCTTGCTGGTCAGCTGGCACCCAGGGCCCTCAGCCTCCGCTTCGCTTCTGCACACAGCGCAACTCGCAGAATTCAAAATTAACAAAAAGTATTATTGAAAAAGCATTTTCTTTTCTAAGACAGGGTTTCCCTGTGTAGCCGCTGTCCCGGAACTCACTCTGTAGACCAGGCTGACCTTGACTGATTTGACCTTGAGATTAAAGGTTTGGGTCACCACCACCTGGCTGTTTTTCATTGTGTAGACCCAGCTGTCCTCACAGAGACCCAGCAGCCTCCACCTCCCATGCTGGCCTGAAAGCTGTGCACCACCCGAGTCCAGGGTTGTGATTGGAAGTTTAACTGGGGTGGTCGTAGACTCACTTGATGTTTTAAGAATGGTGAAGAGATTTCCCCCTGTATGTTTTGCTCAGTTTCCCCCAATGGTAACATTTTTGGGTTTGTGTTTGGTTTGATTTTTGTCATAGCAACCACTGAAAGCCGGTTCAAGAGAATGTCACCTTGCTGGAAGGCAAACACTGCCACCTTGTGGTAAATCCTCAGGCCACTAGGCATGTCTGTTAGGCCCACATCATGTGGGTATGACCTATGCCCATGTGTCCTCCCGGCACATGTCACATGTCCATGGGAGACCCTGGAGTTGGCATGTGGGCGCATGTGTGTTTGCCAAGGCTACTGCAACAAGGTCTCCTCATGGGGTGGACCACTTGAAACTGATTCTCAGTTCCAGACATCACTCAGTTCCAGAGCAAGGTACTGGCTGGGTTGTTTCTGCCAGGGCTCAGCAGGAGCCGATCCCCTGGCTCCTCAGGGTCTCACTGCGTAGCTCTGGCTGTCCTGGTCTCACACTCTGAGGTACCGGGGGTCAGGATGTTTGATAGGCATTTCTGGGGACACTGGCCTATGACAGTAACTGGGAAGCACAGCGTTAAGTGGCCGACTCAGTCTACACTCTGCTGAGTAACAACCCCTCACTAGCATGTGTACAGAAACGCCCGTCATGTGGGGGCTGGCTGGAGACTCTGTGGGGCCTGGGCAACCTCAGCACCCGCTGCCGTAGACTTCCAGCATCCTTTTCTTTCTGGGGACCATGACAGCAGGGACGAAACCCTTATGCTTCTATACGTCTTCAAAAACACCAGGAGAGGCAGAAGCAGGCGAATCTGAGTTCAAGGCCAGCCTGGTCTTGATAGTGAGTTCCAGGGCAGCCTGTCTCAAAAAACCATAACTGAACTAAATAAAAAATAAGAACAGCACCTGGAGCGGTAGAGCTGGCTCATCTTGGGCCACAGTCCCCATGGCTGCCCAGGCTTGGGTCCGGTGACTGCAGGGATGGCAGATACTGATGTCTCTGTCCAGGCATGTGACAGGTGCTGCTTGTCTCCAGATCCAGGAGTGGGAGAGCCATATCCTCACACAGAATAAGGAAGCTTCAAACCCTTCTGTCATCTTGGATCAGAAGGTGAAGGTACAGAGAAGAATCAAGATCCTAGAAGACCAGCTGGACAGGGTGTGTGCCTGGGTTCTCCAGGGTGGCTGGGGCTCTGACATCTGTCAGGAGGATGGACACTGTGGGCTCCCGTTAGGAGAACAAAGGACCCCGGCGTGGGTGGGTTTCAGGCTCCCATGGAGGGGATGGGGTGGTCCCCACCTCCGACAGGTACTGAACCGCATAAGTGCTCGAACCCACCGCAGGTCACGTGTCAGTTTGACGTCCAGCTGGTGAGGAACGCAGCCCTCCGGGAGGAGCTGGACTTGCTACGCATTGAGAGGGCTCGGTATCTGAACATGGACCGCAAGCTGAAGAAGGTGGGAAAAGGCGTCCTGGCCCTGCCACCCTTCTCCAGCTCTGTGCCACAGGCAGAGCTCCTAGGGCCCAGGGCCGCCTCAGTGCAGGGCGAGAGGGGGGAGGGCACATGCCACCTCATCTCACAGCCACGCAGGGACAGCAGCTTCGCTCTGAATTATGTCCTGGGGCGGGCGCGTCTCCCCTGGCCCCTCCCTGCGCTGCTCCTGTCCCTTTTGTGAGGGGCTCTTGTTTTCCGGCAGAGGAAGTGCAGTGGTCTGCTTACTCTTTCTGCCCTAGCCCCGCATTTTGCTATTTCTCCAACAAGTTCCCGTTTCCTTTCTCTTAAATGTTTTTAACATCTAGTTACGTGCTTGGTGTCTTTTTGTGGGTTTGTACTTATGTGCCCAGGTCCTCTGGAGCTGGAGATGCAGGTGCTCGCAAGCTGCTCAATCCTTGAGCCATCTCTTAAAGTCTTGGGTTTGTTTGTTTGTTTGTTTGTTTTGGTGATGTTTTGTGTTTTTCTCCTAATGGTGAGGCGGCGTTGGAAAAATCAAGGTTTAGGTCCAAGTGACCCCACTGTGGCTGTGCCCTGGGGTTTTCCTTGCCCCCTCCTCCCCTTCCTCTGAATAGCTTATGTCCTCAGGACGCACCAGACTGTCAGCACACTGTCGGCAAACCCCGCCCTGTTGGGTGGTCCGCCCTTGCTGTCAGTCTGGAGAAGACCCCGTTGAGAGTCCCCCTGGCCAGTTCTTGCTTCCCGGTCTTCGGCATGGCTCTGCTTTTCATCTGAAACACAGTTAGGTTCATTTACTTGTGTCTGTAATCAGTTTTCCTGCTGTGGTTTTTGGTGGTTGAGCTCTGCCGCCCAGGGAGCAGCCCACCTTGTTCCCTTTTATTGTCGTCTCCTGTCTTTGTTGACTTAATTTGTCTTATAAATCTGTAAAACACTAACACACACAAGCAGTCCCCGAAGGGCTGGCTCGGTGTCACGTACCCGTCTTCTCGTCACTCCGGACCAGAGGCAGCGAGGCAGCCTGGGCCGTAGATCTATACCCTGTGTCAAAATAAAAAGCACTGGAGTGTGGCTCTGTAGCTCAAGCCCAAGCCCTTGCCGAGATCCCCAGCCCCATGAAACCAAGCCAGAACTCCAAAAGCCATCCCAGGAAACATCCGTACAGCCCCTCCCCTGTCTCATATCTGGTGGTCCTGCATTAGTTTCTGGTAGGCCTGGTTTCTTTTTGAAAAGGTGCATGTGTGCGTGTGTGCGTGTGTGCGTGCGTGTGTGTGTGTGTGTGTGTGTTTGCACCTATATGCACATGTGTTTGCTGCTCTGGGTCTGTAGATGGATGTGTAATGCTTCTGCTGTTCCTTTTTACTGAGGACACATGGCTACGTCCACGGATCTAGAAAACAGAACCGAAGGGTCGCAGCATGCATTAGTCTGTCACCATAGCAAAGTAGTTTGACGGGAACATTAGAGAGCAGAGATTCACTTAGCTCACGGTGTGGAAGGTGAAGAATCCGAACGGCACAGGCTGATGTGTCTAGGGCCTTGTCCCACCACAACATGACAGACGGTATAATGGGTAGACCCAGGCGTGAGGGTGTCAACTCAAGGGAGAAGTGGGGGGGGGGTTGGACCTGGAAGAGCCTCAGTGTCTTCTGTGGTCAGTGCCTTTAGCAAGCTTACAGTAGGCCCTACCGTTTAAAAGTCTAAGTACTTCCCAGTATGGCCATCCGGGGACCAAGCTCCCATCCCAAGACTCTTGGTGGATACACCCCACCGAATCCCAGTATAGTAATAACATCCCAGCAGGTTTCCAGACTGAGGGCACGTTGGGTGGTTCTTCTGGGTGAGCAGTCCCCAAGTGAGCCCCAGTCACCCGTCCCTTACCCCCCTGGCTCTCCTCGCAAGCCCCGTTCTGACTCAAGGACAGTTTGGTCTGTATAGGTTCAGGACAGCCCGAGATACACAATGAGACCCTATCTCAAAAAACAGAACAAAACCTCCCACCACAAACAAAGACAAAAACCCCTTCCTTCCCTCGGCAGCCCCTCATAGGTGGGTCTGTGGTGGAGGCCTGGGACTGCCCCTTCTGGGTGGGAAGGCTGGAGGAAGGCAGCTCACTGTGCCCCTGTAGGAGATCCACCTGCTTCGGGAGATGGTGGGAGCGCTCAGCACATCCTCCACCTCTGCTTACACCGCCAGGTAAGCCCCCCGGGGCACTTGGGTAGCAGTTACAGTGGGGGTGGGGGGCAGGAAGGTTGGAAATTCACAAAGATGGGCAGAACCCAAAAGATGTCCCCGACTCTTCTGCCAGACCGTGTTCCCTGGGGATGTGTAAATAGGGAATTCCATCTGTGCCGGCTCCAGGCCTGAAGACATACGCAGGGTAGCTGTGGGAGTAGACAGTCAGCCTTCTCCGCACCTTGGCCGGCTTGTGACCTCTGACCTTCTGCCTAGATGTCCTCCTATGCCTGGGTCTTGTCTCTCGCTGTAGTAGACAGTCTAGTGGAGCACAGGGGCACGCTGATTTCTGTCCTGGGGATGTGTGGCTTGACCAGCCAAGAGGTCCCTTGGGGCTGGGGCTTGCTATTGTCAGGGGAGGCTCTGGGAGGGGCACCCCAACAGTGACAGGGATGAAATCAAAGCTGGGTGGGTCAGGGCAGGGACTCTGCCATTTATGACAGCAAAGCTTTAGGTCCATATTAGGCAAGGGTCCTCCTGCCTTAAGGAGGGTGTGCTGGACTGTGGGAAAGACCTGCCTGCCCAGCCGTGCCCATTTCTAGCTACAGAGCATCCAGACTCCGGCGTTACCCAGGCTGCCCCCTCCGAGTCTGGGAATAATCTCCCGCAGGTTCTGACCACGTCCTCTGCCTGTGTGAGTAACTGGACACATGATCCCTGGCCTCTGAGTCGGTTTCTGTGTCCTGTGTGTCCACCAGGCTTGTCATACCTAGCCCCATCCTGACCCGGCCCTTCCAGCCTAGAACATCCTCCGCCTTTTGTGGGCACCCTCGTGAAGGCAGCTGGCACTGGCCCTCCCCCGGGCCCCAGGCTGACACACACACACACACACACACACACACACACGTTCACTCACCCGCCTATCTTCTGTTTTTACTGACATGCCCCACCTCCCCAGGGAAGAGGCCAAGACGAAGATGGGCATGCTGCGGGAGCGTGCGGAGAAGGAGGTGTCTCAGAATGAGACAGAGGCACAGATCCTGCAGCGACAAATATCGCATCTGGAGCAGCTGCACCGATTCCTCAAGCTCAAGAACCATGACCGGCAGCCGGATCCGGACATTGTGCAGAAGCAAGAGCAGCGAGGTGAGGCCCGTGCTGGACCCTCACCCCCCGCCCCTCACCCCCCGCCCCTCATCCCCCGCCCCTCACCCCCCGCCCCTCACCCCTCACCCCCTCACCCCCCACCCCTCACCCCTCACCCCCCACCCCCCATCCCTCACCCCCTCACCTCCCCCCCGCCCCTCACCCCCCACCCCCTCACCTCCCACCCCTCACCCCTCACCCCCCACCCCTCACCCCCCTCACCCCCCACCCCCTCACCCCCCACCCCTCACCCCCCATCCCCTCACCCCCGCCCCTCACCCCCCGCCCCCTCATCCCCCGCCCCTCACCCCCCATCCCCTCACCCCCGCCCCTCACCCCCCACCCCTCACCCCTCACCCCCCACCCCCATCCCCTCCCCCCGCCCCTCACCCCCACCCCCCACCCCCTCACCCCCTCACCTCCCCGCCCCTCACCCCCCACCCCCTCACCCCCCACCCCCTCACCCCCACCCCTCACCCCTCACCCCCACCCCCCCCACCCCTCACCCCCTCACCTCCCCGCCCCTCACCCCCCACCCCCTCACCCCCACCCCCTCACCCCCCACCCCCTCACCCCCCACCCCCCATCCCCTCACCCCCGCCCCCTCACCCCCCACCCCTCACCCCCTCACCTCCCCCCGCCCCCTCACCCCCACCCCCCACCCCTCACCCCCTCACCTCCCCGCCCCTCATCCCCCGCCCCCTCACCCCCCCACCCCTCACCCCTCACCCCCCACCCCCCATCCCCTCACCCCCGCCCCTCACCCCCCACCCCTCACCCCCTCACCTCCCCCGCCCCTCACCCCCTCATCCCCCGCCCCCTCACCCCCCGCCCCTCACCCCTCACCCCCCCCCCCTTATCCCCCGCCCCTCACCCCCGCCCCTCACCCCTCACCCCCCACCCCCTCATCCCCCGCCCCTCACCCCCCCGCCCCTAACCCCTCACCCCCCACCCCCTCACCCCCCGCCCCTCACCCCTCACCCCCACCCCCTCACCTCCCACCCCCTCACCCCCCACCCCCTCACCCCTCACCCCCTCATCCCCGCCCCCTCACCCCCACCCCCCTCACCCCCCACCCCTCACCCCTCACCCCCCACCCCCTCCCGCCCCTCGGAGAGGGCGGGGCCCATTGGTAGAAGATGGGGCAAAGGAGAGAGGGGCCCAGCCGTGCGGGAGAGGCTGGTGGGGCCGCTGAGTGGGCGGAGCCTGCTGGGCAGACTGGGGTTGTCCTGGATCCTGGAACCCTCGAAAGCCCGGTGTTACCGCAGCCTGGGAGGTGGCAGAAGGACTCCGAAAGACCTCCCAAGAGAAGCTCGTGCTGCGTTTCGAGGACACTATGAACAAGTTGGCTCAGCTGACCGGCGAGAGCGACCCTGACCAGTTGGTGGAGAAATACCTGGAGCGTGAGTGGGCAGAGGGCGGACGGGGCGGGGCTGCAGCGCCGCCGGTGTCTGGGGTCCCTCCCCATGCTCCCCCTCGGCCCGGCCTTGGGTCTTCTCTGCTTCTTACTTCACACGTCTCCGCAGCTGTCCCTCAGCGCGCTCTCTCTGTCTGTCTCTCTGTCTCTCTCCTCTGTCTCTCTGTCTCCCTCTATCTCTGTCTGTCTCTCTGTCTCTCTCCTCTGTCTCTCTGTCTCCCTCTATCTCTGTCTGTCTCTCTGTCTCTCTCCTCTGTCACTCTGTCTCCCTCTATCTCTGTCTGTCTCTCTGTCTCTCTCCTCTGTCTCTCTGTCTCCCTCTATCTCTGTCTGTCTCTCTTTCTCTCTCTGTCTCTCTTTCTCTCTCCTCTGTCTCTCTGTCTCCCTCTATCTCTCTCTCTCTCCTCTGTCTCTCTGTCTCCCTCTATCTCTCTTTCTCTCTCCTCTGTCTCTCTCTCTCCTCTGTCTCTCTGTCTCTCTGTCTCTCTCTGTCTCTCTCTCTCCTCTGTCTCTCTGTCTCCCTCTATCTCTCTTGCTCTCTCCTCTGTCTCTCTGTCTCCCTCTATCTCTCTGTCTCTCTCCTCTCTTTCTCTCTCTCCTCTGTCTCTCTGTCTCTCTCCTCTGTCTCTCCTCTGTCTCTCTGTCTCTCTGTCTCTCTCTGTCTCTGTCCCCCCCCATGGATTGTTCCGGGTGTGTGTGTGTCCTTCCAGAATCTCCTTTTACCGTCAGTGTGTTGGTATCCCTCTGTGGCTGTCACTGCCTCTTGCTATGCGCTGCTTTCTGCATCCTTGTGTGTGTGTGTGCTCGGTTCTGTTTTCCTGCCTTTGTTTCTGTCATCTCTTAGCCCTTAGCCATCCTGCTGTTTCTAACTCCATCCCTCTGGACCCCCCCCCCCGCACGCCCCCAGTGGAGGAGCGCAACTTTGCTGAGTTTAACTTCATCAACGAGCAGAACTCGGAGCTGCATCACCTTCAGGAGGAGATTAAAGAGGTGAGCCATGCCCGTCCTCCTGCATCCTCCCTGCCTCCCAGACTCCACATCCCCTCCCCAGGGCTAGAGCCTGCCCCGCGCCTGCCCCGTGTCCCTGCAGATGCAGGAAGCCTTAGTCAGTGAGCATGCCAGTCAGGACAGCCAGCACCTGCAGCAACAGCAGCAGTGCAGGGTGTTGCAGCAGGATGTGGACAAGGTGCGCTCGGAGTCCCAGCAGCTGGAGGTGCACTTGCTGGCTCTCCAAGCTCAGCTGGAAAAGCTCAAGGCTGGTAAGTGCCCAAGGGTTCCTGTCTCAGCCCAGCTTCTTCTTTTTGTTGTTATTTTTATTTATTGAATGTTTTTTTCTGGCTTTCCATAGCGATCCCAGTTCCCTCTCCTTCCACCCTCCCATGCCCCAGCTTCTTCATTGGGAAGGGTGCAATGTGCCTGTGGGGAGCTGGCTGCCAGCAGGCATTTCAAGGCCAGCAAGTTCTGCCTTTGCGTCTCTGTCCATCTCATACCTTTTGCCAGCCCATCTGGGGTGCATCTGTCTGTCCATCCATTCTCTCATATACCTGTCTGTTTATGAATGTCCAGGTGTGTGATTGTTGGATCATAGGCCAGGGTACTTTTTATATTTATTGGAAAATGCTGAATAGTCCTTCAGAGCAATTTCTCATTTCCTTCCTTTCTTCTTCTTCTTTTTATTTATTTATTTATTTATTTATTTATTTATTTTTGAGACAGGTTTTCCCTGTGTAGCTTTGGAGCTTGTCCTGGAACTTGCTGTGTAGACCAGGCTGGCTTTGAACTCACAGAGATCCGCCTGCCTCTGCCTTCCAAGTGCTGGAATTAAAGGCGTGCGCCACCACTGCCCAGCTTCATTTTCTTCTTTCTCTCTTCTTTCCTTTCTTTTTTGAGGTAGGGTCTCTCTCTCTATTATGAAGCTCTGAATGTTCTGGAAGTCACTATGTAGACCAACCTGGGCTACAAAGCAAGTTCCAAGACAGCTAGGGTTGTTACACAGAGAAACCCTGTCTCGAAAAACCAAAAAAGAAAAAGAAAGTATGGGTCACCGTGGCAATGCCTCCTCGTGTGCCTCTGTGTGCACACCCGTCACAAACGCCCCCCAGCATCGCACCCGACATTCTGCTGTATCTGTGGCACCTACTTTGATCCCTAAGTCATCAGTGTTTATAAGAGTGTCACCCTATGGCCATCTCTGTGAATTCCTGCTTGAGCTTGTGCATTTATAATGTTAAAATTTATGTGTGTGAGTGAGTGTATGTGAGTGTGTGAGTGTGCTATTTGTGTCTGTGTGAGTGTGCATGAGTGTGCCATTTGTGTGTGTGTGTGAACGTGCCGTGTGTGAGTGCGCGTGAGTGTGCCACCTGTGTGTGAGTGTGCACGAGTGTGTCATTTGTGTGTGAGTGCGCGTGAGTGTGCCATTTGTGTGTGTGAGTGTGCGTGAGCGTGCCATTTATGTGTGTGAGTGTGCATGAGTGTGCTATTTGTGTGTGAGTGTGTGTGAGTGTGTGTGAGCGTGCCATCTGTGTGTGTGAGTGCTCATGAGTGTTCCATTTGTGTGTGTGAGTGTGCATGAGTGTGCACGAGTGTGTGTGAGTGTGCATGAGTGTGCCATTTGTGTGTGAGTGCGCGTGAGTGTGCCATTTGTGTGTGAGTGCGCGTGAGTGTGCCATTTGTGTGTATGTGTGCCATTTGTGTGTGTGAGTGTGCCATGGCATGTAAGTGTGGGTTGGAGGACAACCTGCTACCACATAGGGCCTTGGATCAAACCCAGTTGTCAGCTTGACAGCAAAGGCCTTCACCTACTGACCCACCTTGCCAGCCCATATTTTTTTTATTTATTTACTTAAGTCGTTAAACATTTTTAAGATTAGATTTATGTATTTTTTGTGACAATGTTTTGCCTACATGTATTATATATGTACACCACATGCACTGAATGTGGCATTGAATCTCCTGGAACTGGAGTTACAGATGGTGTGAACCACCATGTGGGTGCTGGGAATTGAACTCGGGTCCTCTGCAAGAGCAGCCAGTGCTCTCAGCTGCTCTGCCATCTCTCCAGCCCCGCCATGAGTTAGATTGCATTGAGTGAGATTGTTTTTGTGTTCTGAGGTATGAGGGTTCTTTATTGATTCTGTTATTGATTGCCGCTTTGTTGTGTGGCATTTATTTTACACTTGATAAGATGTACTCAACTCCCTTTTGTAATTAGTGGCTTTGTGGTATAAGAAGTTTTTTACCTATTTGAGGTTGCAAAGGGATTCTCTTGTTTTCTTTACTAGAACTTTGTTTGGCTTCCATATCAGAGCCTGGCCCCGCCACAGAGGAAGTCAGTCACAGCGAGGGTTTTTCCTTACTCCTCCGGATGGGGAGCTGGTGCCGTTACTGGTCCTGGTCCCCTTTCTTGTCTTCACAGCAGCTGAACAAGCTTTCTGGAGACTGGCCACGCTGCCTCTGGGCCCAGTGCCACCTGCTGCTGACCCAGATGCGCCCCTCCCTCTTTCTGAGGGTGATGAGGGACAAGGACAAACAGGTGCGGGTGGCAGGAGCTCTGCTGTGGCTCGCAGCAGAGCTCAGCACGCACCTTCTCTCTGACGTTTATAACTATGTCAAGTTCACACACAGGCTCCAGCCGAACGTCCACACTTTTTTTTTTTTTTTTTTTTTTTTTTTGGTTTCTCGAGACAGGGTTTCTCTGCAGCTTTGGAGCCTGTCATGGAACTCACTCTGTAGACCAGGCTGGCCTCGAACTCACAGAGATCTGCCTGCCTCTGCCTCCCCAGTGTTGGGATTAAAGGCGTGCCATCACATCTTTACTTATTTTTATGTGTGGGTTTATATGTGTGTGCACAGGTACGTGTGTGTGTGTGTGTGTGTGTGTGTGTGTGTATGTGTGTGTCCTTCCTCCTCTGTTTTATAATGTTACTTATCCTCTTGTTAGGAGCTACTGTGCTCTAAATGGCTTTGTCTCTTCCTAATAAATCCCACTCTGGGGCACTGGGAAAGTTTCGACTCCCAACATGAGACTCTAGAGGGACACACTTCACCTATAGTAATCTGGCTGTTGCAGAGCTGTCCCTCTCTCTGCAGAGGGACAGGTAGGTGATTTTTGGTCGTTTGCTGTTATTAGCAGAGTAGCCAAGACCCCTTTAGGAAGTCAAACACAAAACAGAAACCGAGGTATATGTTTGAAGACTATCCAGAGATGGCATGCAGCTTCTGTGGGGTCACTGCAGGAGCCACAGGCTCAGGGCTCACACATGTGTGAGGCGGGGTTCAGCTGTACTTCTGTCTGTTAACCAGAGGGCCTGGGGTGAGGGGTGTCTTCTGGGGCGCATGTGTTCCACGTGGGAGCTGAGCCCTGGCGTTACTGGGTTGGTGGGAAATAGACTTGTTTCCAGTCAAGGTGTGCCACCAAGGCAGCATCTTGTCAGATCTCCTGTACCCTCTTGAGCTCTGAGGCTAAATGGGCCTTGTGCCTGGCTGCCTGGGCCGGGCAGCCCCAGTCGGTCCTCGAACCTTGCATTTCCAGAGAGGCTGTGGTTGTGTACTGAGTGACCTGATAGTATGTTCCTCTCCGCTCCCAGATATCCAGCTTCTCTTCGACAAGGCTCAGTGTGACAGCAGTGTCATCAAGGATCTCCTTGGGGTCAAGACCTACATGCGGGATAGGGACATGGGCCTCTTCCTGAGTAACATCGAGAAGCGGCTGGTGCAGCTCCTTATAGTGCAAGCTTTCCTTGAGGTCCAGGTGGGTGGCAGGGACTTGGGTATGGGGCTGAGCTGGGCTAGGCCTGCACTAACTCCAGGCTCTCACTCTCTCAGAACCATACCCCTTTGGCTGAAGCTGCCCTGCTGGCCTTAGGCCAGAGCCAAGAGGACCCTCCAAAGAAGACCACCCCACTGCAGCCTCCTGACACCCTGTGAGGCTTGGGAAGGACCGGCTCCATGGGGCGGACAAGAGGGATTGGATGGAGGGCTTGGGAGTGGTGTGGGTATGGCCTTCTGGGGCATAGAAGGTGAAGTGGGAGCTTGCAGGGCGTTGGGAGCGTGGGGAGATGGGTTGCTGGGGCTCCAAGGGGAGGGACAGGCACGGGACAACTGTGATCTGTGTGGGAGGCAGAGCTATGAAACTGGACTCTCTTCCTCTCTCCCACCCGAGGGAGGACTCCCCAGCTTTTGTGGTCAAAGAGGATTACCCTATGAGCAAGGAGGAGCTGCTGAGTCAAGTGGTGAAGGCGGTAAGGGTGGGCCCCCAGGGCTGGGATAAGGACTTCTACTGCCTGTTGGGACCCTAATGTTGCCCACCCCCAGGTGGAGCTCAAGAACCTGGAGGAGTCCCCAAGGAAGCTGGACAGCAGCCCGAGCTTGGCTTTCTCCAGTACTGAGATCTCCCTGTCAGGCCCCACCCTGGGGATCTCCAAGAGGACCAGCACAGTCCCTGAATCCATTCTGAGCCACAAGACAAGCCGAGGCCGCGGCACCGGCTCCATAAGCCACGTCACCTTTGGTGACTCTGGTTCTGTCACTGGCCCTGTGACCTTGGGTTCTGCTAGTGCCAGTGGGGTGGCATCCAGGCGGAGCTCTGGGGCGGCCCGAGGGGGCTTCAAGCACTCCAGCTCCAGCAGCTACCTGGGGTCCACTGGCTACTTGGAGACCAGCCGCCACGAGAGCTTAGCAGGCGGCACACAGAGCCAGAGTGTGGCGTCAGAGCTGAGTAGAGGCCCTAGCTCCAGCAGCGGCCAGGCGTCCAGTGCTCTCCCTGCCTCCAGGCCCAGCTCCTCTACCAGCAAGGACTCGAGGGCTTACAACTAGGGCTGCAGGTCCCTTTCTGCCGCAGCTCCTGGCAGCTTTTCTAATCTTCGCCTTCCTCTTCCTCAGAGACTCTCCAGTCCCTCTACGCCCAGGCCTCTTGAGTTTGCCCCATCTCTGTCCATCTCCCGCTCACGCATTGTTAGGTTCTCTGTCTTGGCTTCGCCTCATTGTAGCCCCTCCTCTCCTTACTCCCCGTCTCTGCCCTCCTCCTCATCTCTCTCCCACGCTTCCCAGTGTCTGATGTCCCTGTCTCCTAACTGGATTCCCCTCCATTGACTAGGTGAGAACTGTAACCATAGGAAATAAAGGTTGGAACCCATCTCTTCGCTCAGCCTGGTTCCTACTACTGTGTTCAGAGATGGCTCCCTCTGTTTACAGCTCAGGGAAGAACATTTGCGAGCCCATTCCTGCATCTGCCTGTGCCTGCATCCAAGCATCCCTACATCCACATGCCACGGGGAAAAGGCCTGCACATTTTCAGTTCGGATGCTCTTAGAGAAGCATCCCGGTGTGTGGAGAGCTCTGAGCGGCTGGGCATGCAGGGGGCATGGAGGCAGAGGCAGAGGCTGGGGTTTGCCTGGGATCTTAGGGAAATGTCTCCTCACCCAGGCGGTATCTCCTGCTGGGCCATGGGGCAGCCAGAAGGCTCTTGTCACATGTGCATCTTGGACTTCCAAGCCTCCAGACTGTAAGAACTTTTTGTATTTTATTTTGTATGAGGATCTCACATGGTGCAGGTTGGCTTTGAACTCCACATGTAGCAGAAAATGGCATTGAAGCTATGATTTCTGCTTCCACCTCCCAAGAGCTGGGGTTACAGATGGACACCACCATGTCTGCTGTATGTATGCAGTGCTGGGATCTGACCCAGCTCTTCATGCACCCTAGGCAAGCACCCTACCAGCTGAAATACAGGGCTGTTGGTGTTCTCCAGCAGTAGTCTGGACCTGGCATATCAGAGGCCTGCATGTTGAAGGATTGCTTATCAGCCTTTGACTGTATTAGAAGAGGCTGGTACCTTGGAGAGCTGCGGCTGGTGGAAGGAAGTGAGATCATTTGGGGGGTGCCTTGGAAAGAGTCACTGGGAACCCAGCGATTTCTCCTCTTTGTGCTTTCTAGGCTCTGTGAGCCTCCTTGCCCCACAGCGGCTCCCTCCGTGTTCTGCCTCACAAGCCCAGAGGCAACGGTGTCGGGTGACTGTGAGCTGACACCATGGGTTACAGCAAGCATGTCCTTATAAAATGATTGTTAGGTGCTGTGTCACAGGTGCTTGGCTGGCCTAGGGCTGCTAGTTCACCCACACGAGACACCTATCTTCCTCCCCCCCTCCTCCCGTGTCTTGAGTTTTAATTTCTTGACCACATTTCATAAAATGAGAATAAAACAAAACCAAAAGGAAGTATCCAAACCCTTGTGCTTCCAAATTGTCTACAAATACATTATGATCAGAAAAGACAAATGTACTGGTTGCTTTTGTAAACCTAGGCCCAAACCTAGACATCTCTGGGAAGAGGGATCTTGGTAGAGAAACGCCTCTATAGGACAGTCCTGTCTTGATTAATGCTGATGTGGAAGGCTGAGCATGCTGTGGGTGGGGCCTCCGTGGTCAGGAGGTCCTGAACTGTGTGAGAAAGCTGGCTGAGCAAGCTATGGGACATAAACCCGGAAGATATGCTTCTCCATGTGCAGGACTCTCCTGCCTCCAAGTTCCTGCCCTGAGTCCCTGCCCTGACTTCCTGCCCTGAGTCCCTGCCCTGAGTTCTCTCAGTGATGGAGTGTGACCTAAAGACAAATAAAGCCTTTCCTTCCCAACTTACTTTTGGCTATGGCTGTTTTCACAGCAAAAGAAAAACTAAGACTAAAATTTTGATAATCCATTTGCAGAGTGGTATTACTATAAATTTGCCAAGAAACATAGTCACAGTTCTATTGCTGTGAAGAGACGCCATGACCAAGGCAACTCTTGTGAAAGAAAGCATTCAATCGGTGCTGGCTTACCGTTTCAGACGTAAGTCATCATGGTGGAAAGCACGGCTAGTAGGTAGGCATGGAGCTGGAGAAATAGCTCAAGAGTTCTACATCATGTCTGGAGGACATGAACAAGACTGACACTGGGCCTGGCTTGGGCTTTTGAAGCCTCTAAGCCCACCCCCAGTGACACGCTGCTCTAACAGGGCCACACCTCCCGATCCCTCTCAGATAGTGCCACTCCTTGATGACCAAGCATGCAAATCTATGAGCCTGCGGGGACCATTCTTACTCAAACCATCAAACTTGGGGAGCAAAAGTTTTGTGTTTTGAGGGAGATGGTAGGATCATCTTTCTACTACTCCCCATCAGGGTGCTTCATCTAATTCCCAGAGAGCAGCGAGTACAGAAGGAGAATGAAGCAGCAGCTTATCTCTTCCTGATACTTCCCAGAGAGTTGCAAATTCTGTGCTCCTGGTTGGCTGGGATCAGACGCTCCGCTCACCACTGGTAGGAGACACACTGGGAAATTTGTTTAAAGATGTTAGGCAGTTCGGAGACATCTGCATGAGTCCATAGGAATTAATGAGACGAAGGGACAACAGCAGGGACACAAGAAGGATCAGCCATATCATTCCTGGAAAAAAAGCCAGGGCAAGTACCCCTAGTCAGAGCTGCAGAGACAGGAGCTTTGACCAGGTGCCATTCAGCTGCCCTTTGCATGAACTGACAGAAATGTGCATCGCAAATGCACAGCGGCCACCATATGCATGGGAGCATCGCAAATGCATGGAGCAGGGTTGAAAGGGTGCCCGGAGAGGAGTCAGCATTGCATAGCATTTAAGTAGAGAACGAAACGGGGAGATCGGTAATATTGCTAGAGCCGCAGCAGTCCTTAGCAGCATCTCAGGGTCACTGCACACCGATTGTGCGCAGTGACCCAGAGAAGTCATCGTCTGTCCGGTTTGGAGCTTACATGTAACCTCAGCGATATGTGTTCACAATGCTAAGGTTAAGTTCATGGCCAGTACCTTCATGTGGGAGAGAACCGGCAGGACAGGAAAACGGAAGCCCACTCAGATTTCCCCGGAAGCCCTGAGTGTAGAAATAGAGCAGACACTCAGCTTCCCCTGGACCATGGATTTTGTATTCTCACCGAAGTGAGACAAAGCATACATGAAAGGATTTAAAAGTGGGCTGTGAAGCTGGGCGGTGGCCGCACAAATGTGTCTTTAATTCCAACACTTGGGGGTAGAGGCAGATGGGTCTCTGTGAGTTCGAGGCCAGCCTGGTCTACAAAGCAAGCCACAGGCCAGCCAGGGTGACAAACAAACAAAAATAAAATAAAATGTGCAGTGAAGCCTCGTGGGACCCTCCTATCACCTCAGTGCGTGGGAGGCTGAAGCGGGAAGGTTGGGATTTGGAGGTCATCTCAGGGAAACAGTGTTCAGCCTAGCAATACTAAGCATAGAGAAGTATTGCAGAGTGAGTATTGCAGTCTCTGGTTCCATACAGCGCCCGGGACAGTTTCCCTCAAGGGCCTCAGACACACAAAGTAATCCTCTCATTTCTTATCCCCTCTGCCCTGGGAAACCACAAGTCTGCTTTTTGTACCTTGGATTTGTCTAGTCTGCCACACCAACAAAGTATGACAAGCCAGTCCCGCAACATCATCCATGATAGAATCCTTTCTTTTCTGTGGCTGAATACTATTCCACATATGTCAAACCACGTTTCCTTTCTCTGTTCACTCACTGATGGCCATTTGGCTTGTGTGATATTCTGAGTGAGAAGGGTCCCCGTAGGCTCACGTGGATTAGGAGGTGTGGCTTAGTGGGTGTGTCTAGGGCGGGGCACCGATCCAGGATGGTATGATAGTGAAGAAAGGTAGCTGAAGCTAGATGTGCATTAATTCATCGATCTTAGCTCTTGATTGTGGGTGTGATGTGACCGGTCGCTACTTTAAGTACCTGCTTCCCTGATAGACTGTGAGCTAAAACCGTGAACCAAGCAACTCGCCTTTGTTAGGGTTAGGGTATGCTATCACAGCAACAGGAAACAAAGCTAAGACACTGAGTCCCTGAAGGCACAGCTGGCTGTCCCCTTATAATTGTCATGATTATAATGTTGGGATTGTACCAACCACCTCCTAGCCAGAGACAAGGCAACTTCAGAAAAAAACTCCATCGTGCCCAGCCTGCAGCCAGCTGTGGGGACACAGAAGGGACAGGGGGTACTTAGAGAAGAGGCTGGGTCTGGAGCAAGTGGCTGTTGGGACTTGCTGAGCGTCCCCTGGCTCATGGGGAGTGACCCTTGAGCTGAGTGTATATGCACAGCACAGCGACATCAAAGACATTTGGAATATCCTAAAAGTTATTCAAAAATTAAAAAGATTTTATAGATTTCCCTAGAGACCTCAAAAATGAAGTTGATTTTTAAAGAGAGGGTTTTACTATGTAGTCCCAACTGTTCTGGAATTGGCTATGTAACCCCAAGGCTTGTCTCTTCTGCTTTTGTTTCCCAAGTGTTGGGGTGTAGTGAGATAGTCCTTCTGTGGCACTGACCACGCCCATTGGGGGTGGAGCCATGGGCGGAAGTGACCTGTGGAAGGAGGTGGGAGAGAGAGCCGGAAAAGCTCTCTTTCTGGCGTGACTCGGACAGGAGAAGATCGGGTTGAATTTCCTGGTGTTCATCTGTCTAGGTTGTAAGTTATTTCTCCCTGAATAAACATCTATTCGGCCTATTTGTTTATCCTGATCCTTATTTACCTCGATATCTGGTGTCAGAAGCGGATTTACCTGGGTTTCGCCCCCAGGCGACAGAAGCCGCCCCCCTCCCCCTCCTTGCCCAACGGGCAGGGTTTAACCAGGTGGACTCACCACAGCTTTGGGACATTTGCCTCTTCCTTACTGCAAAGGAGATCTTTGCCGCTAAAGCAGACCTGAGAAGGCACTTACCGCTTAACATTTTTTGCCCATTTCCGCATGGGACTTTGCATTTGCGCAGAGCCTCTCGGCGGCACCCGCCCGGCGGCACCCGCCCAGCAACACCCGTCCGGCTTGCACGCGTTTCGTCTTGTGTTACAAGTAACTCCAAAAGTCCCCTTTTAACAAAATTCTGCTTGTCATAGTTTGTTAAGAGATATTCTACAGGGACCGGAATCAGAAGGATCGTCTGCTGCCGGACAATATTTGGCGGCACACT